AGGACTTGGATCCCACAGAGAGGAGTACAGTATAAATGTCTAGAAATCTCATTGCCCATGCACACACAGCACAGACAATAGCAATATAGCTTGCATACGGCGTCTAGAGAATCAGGGAATATTCTCTGATCCCTGTGCGGGTCTCTTGCTGTGTCATCCACTCCCTTTTGGGGTCCACTCTGCTATCTAAAGACAAGATGGGCTCTTGTGATACCTTATGAGGTATTACAAGCACTTGTGTGTGGACATTAATGACGTTTTATAGTAAATGCCAAAGTTCCCTAGCACAGACTGACCTTTACAGTTGCAACATTTCTGTAATAATACTATGATTACCGCAACACTTTTCACAAGAATTAGGAGCACTAATTTCAGTGTCCTAGCCAAACGTTCATTTAGGGAATTTAAATTTTACTGTCTTAGTTAAAAGTTACTTTCTATTTCTTTCTGGAAGCATCACCAGCTACTTTTAAAATAACGTTTAATGTTGTCAAGGGAGATAAGGTTATGGTGACATCACAATCTGCTTGAGTTTACTTTTGTGTCTCTTATGATCACACTAGAAACAGCTGATGGGTTTTTAGTTCCTTTTATTTTATTTTATTTTTTGGGGGGGTGGGGGGGCTCTTGTTCTAGCTGAAGGCATGTTTCTTGACTTCCCAAGGTCAGTTGTTTTAGGAGAATTGTGAAATGTGCCATTTAAAGATTGATTGTGTGTGTGTGTGGTTGGGTTGTGAGAAGAGAATTTATGACAGCAGTTGTTATAGTTGAACTATTCTCAAAGTTCATCTTTATCCTTTAATGAGAAGGGACGGCGTCTGAGAGTGTTGGTCACACTTGTTTGTGGTGTGGGGGAACTTCTTGCACCTGCAGACATTGAGGCAGTATTTGTCCCATGGTGAAATGTTCTATGCTTTATGTAAACGTTGATAATAAAGAACAGACTTGGAAACAATTAATGACCTCTTGATACACAAAAATTATTTTGCTTCTCTTTGTAGCGGTAGCTTCTATGCCACTCTCCTTGGATAACAATAGTGATAGCTCTTCACAGTGAGAGATGCTGTGCTCCTGAACTGAGAGAAGACATTCTGAGATCAACAAAGCAATTAATGTTCCATATACTTCAGTGGAGGGTGATCTTTTTTTAAAGAGATCTCTATTATGATGTGTGCTCTTGTATACTATGGCTAAGGTATATTACCTGAAAGAACTCCTTGTGTGTCATTCTTTTTGTGTCAGCTTATGTTTGCTTCCACTGACTCTTAATTTTTGTTACTACTTGCTGCGTTTGCCTTAGAACTGCAGATCTCTATGTGGCAAGAGGGTGCTTTGGTACCAGAGGGTTGAAGGCAGAGGTCAGAGTATTTGTAGTGTCTCACTACAAGTTTTATTCCTTGGCCACTTTGCTGAGTGGAGCTTTCTTTAATCTGGAATTTCTCTGTACTCATGAGCTTTTGGAAGTTGACTGGTTACTGCTTCTTTCCTGAAACTGGGGACAGTTATGATCTTTACGTGTGTGATATGGTGATCTGTCTAGGACTGGAAACACCTATTGGACTGGAACTGTATATAAGGTCAGGTTTGTGGTATGAATGGCTGTGTGTAAGCTGGAAATCATCTGAGACAGAGAGAGCTGGTTTGGGGCCATTGTGTTAGAGGTGTTAGCAGTGAGATGTTGTAGACCTCCTTGACTGAGTCTTGGGAACTTTAGTACGGTTAGACAGCATTTCAGTCAGCTCTCTGAAGAAACCTCTTCTGGTTAAAGACTTATATGTTAGCAAGATACCCACATTGGTCTTATCTCCAAAACTGCAAATGTAACTAGGCGCATTTGAAAGTCTCTGATTAGACTCTTGTATCTGAGGCCAGTTTGGAATAGAATGGCTACTTATTCATTTTAGTACACTAGAATCTGTGATGTACTCATTTAGCCTGAAGAAATGAGGGGAGCTACCATTGGGCCCATAGTGTTAGGCAACCAAATTCTGGTAAATCATATCCAGTTAGGGTGCTCACAGGTGATGAGATCATAAATGTGATGTGGTCTTGCATTGGTTAAGAGGAACTTAAGTTCTGGAATTGATCTTATCTGTGTGCATATACATGTGTAATTGCTCTGGATTGGCTGTAGTATCCAATGAGACACTGCTTGCACTGCTTGTGGATGTTTCTTCTAGATAAAACTTGCATTGGGAAGGAGCAGGATTGGGTTGAAGGTGATATTGGGGGGTGGGAGGAGTTGTGTTTTGGTTGTGGTAATCTATCAATACTGTTGTTAGAGTGTGGCAGGTGTGTGTAGGATTCTCCAGGATGCTGCATTAGTGTTGTGATTGTGGGAAGGGGGTAGAGTTGGCAAAGCCTTCTTCATGAATAGTGTACAGAAGAGCTGCTGGTAGATGATCTTTTCCTTGTATTGAGGCTATTTAGGGCTGTTTTCTTCTTGTGTTTGGTGTTTGCATCCTAAGAGCTTTCTGCTGCTGTAGATATTGACAGGGAAGGGTGACTGTGGTGATGTAGCCTCTGATCTAGGCTGTTGAAATGTCTTTGTTAGTGTGAGGTCACACTAACCCAAAAGTTTCTTCCACCACTTGCTGGTGAGCAGCTCCTCTACTGGAGCTCGGAGAAGAGGCTGTTGGAGCAATGGGACCCAGTCTTTTATAGGCCTGAAAAGATAAGCATAGTTTATTGGTTCCTTTCTGTTTTAACTCCAGATGCTCCAGAATTATTTCCTTCATTTCCCACTAGGTGTTAAGTATTACTTATGATGCTTTGACATCTGTTTAATCTAGTTATTTAATGCCATAACATTTGTTTTATAAGCCCAGTTCTCTTTCCTTGTGCATTAGAGAACACGTCAACAAGAAAACTTGTAAATTTACCAAACCAAAGTAATTGCCCATTTCTTCAGACATAGTTATAAGTGAGGGTCTTTCCATCCCCGTGAATGGCTTTGCTTATTCTAGGTTTGGGAAAACAGGACTTTTTAAAGGTAATTAGTATTATTTTCTGTGACTTTATTGCATGTGGAATGTGATTTTCTTCTACCGTAGGTGTTAACTGAGTATGGTGGTCCTCTCCCCCATCAAAAAAAGGGTGTGGTGGGGCAAGGGGACACAAAGACATGGCACTTCTCATAACTGGGCATAAATCGTGTCCTGACACCTTTTTTTAACAAGTTTTTTTGTGGAGTAAGCTTAAAAAAACAATACTTCTAGCAAAAAATATACCTCCCTGCCCTGCTAAGATTACTTACCGCCCTGAGTATCTTGTTAAGTCACATGCTCTGTCTAGCATATGTGGTAGGTAAAATGGAAAAAGGCAGCTGTTCTCTTTTTCAGTGCAGCAAACAAGGGTAGACTCTCAAAACTTTGGGCAGTCATTTTTGTCACGAAGAGTCCCAGTCTTATTGGAACCAGGCTCACAAGGAGACAAACAACCTTTCTATTTTTACCTGCTTTCTTTTGCTCTATAAAGTCATCTTTATCTTTGAGTGATTTTTGTATTGAGGCAGGTCCGTTATTAACATCAAATTACTGCTCTTGCTGCTCCCACTGCCATGCTACACGGCCTCAGCCTGCTTGGAGTCCCATGACTTTCTAATTTATAAGAGTTACCAGAGATCCTCATTGTACTAACTCTTGATGGGTGCTCAGCTTTCTGCTGCATGCTATCAGTATACTAGATCATACGCTCACTGCGCTTCAGTTCCTTCTGCCGGACTTCAAGTCCCCACCCCAAGGTGAGGCCAGCAAAATTGCTGATGTAGTAGTACTTCCCAGTTGTAGTTAAGGAAGAGGAAAGTCCTGCTACTTTTAATGTTGCTGCTTTCCATTTCTGATCTCCTGCTGGAAACAATAAAGCTAGAGAAATATCTGAAGTCCAGCAAGGTTTTGAAGAGCAGTAAAAGTTTGTCCTTTCAATCTGAATACAGGAGAACTCTGCAGAAGGCATCTCTTCTCTCTTCCTTTTCTTTGGTATTTTGCTGTAGGCTTCAGAATTATTACTTATAATTTTACATTGTAGTCTCTCAGATTGAAAGACTAAAAGGTGTTTGATTCATATAACTAGTCCATAGTATTGTTGAACGTCTGGAAACAAGCAAAGGTTTAAGTGATGAGGTAGTGGTGTTAGGAAGATGTTTTCCCTCACTTCCAGCCTTCCTCTTTGTATATGTGAAGTCTTAGGAAGCAGCTGAGTATGTTAATGATTTTTTTAAAACAGAGATTTAGCAATTTGGGAGAGTTTGATCTGAAATGTTGTTGTTGGGGGGCAGGGGGAGGTTATACTAATTTTATCTTTTGTCATAGTAGTAACTGCTACTCTGAGATAGTGTCTTTTTTTTTTTTTTTGGTACTTCATGTATAGAAGCTGATGTTTCTGCTCTAATTAACAAGTATGTGTAGACTTTGCTAGTTTAGAGAAGAACAAAGTTCGGGTGCAGGCATTAGATGCAATAACTGATTATATATTATGTAGCTTTCTAGTATCCTTTTGAGAAAAAGAAAATGTACTGCCCAGATCTACCAATTGAGGGTCAATATATGGCTATATACAGAAACCTTTCTGAAGGTTTGGAAGAACAGGTACATTCTATACAGGATTCCTTACTCCAAGTAAGTACAGAAGATTATTTTATTTATTTATTTATTTAGAATTAATTTATGTGGGCAAAGGGAATGACTAAATATGGGAAAGTCAGGGTAGACTGCTTTGGGGAAGATAACATGGCAGTGAATATTTTAAAATGCTTTTTGTGCCTTTCTCCTAAAAACTTTGAGGTGATTTAGCTTGTTGAAGCTAAATAACATGCCAAATGAGATCTCAGGATATTTTTTTTTAAAAGACATACTGTTTAGAGGAGTGCCGTCTTTTTATACTATATTATTTCAGTTATTGCACTGACTGCAGCAGTATAAACAACTCCTTCCTCAGGGGAGAGTTGAGAGGCTTAGTTAATGTTTGTACAGTACTTTGGAAGTGTAAAACACAATATAAGTACTATTCTGATTTTTTTAGCTGACAGTCATTCTTGGTTTGACTGGTGTCTATTTACATATAGAATAAATTATAACCTCCCCATGCCCTAAACTAAACAGTCAACTTTCTAAATAAAATAGCCTTGACTTGTGAATAAACAGCATGCATGGCATACTCTGGCTACTGCACCTTCCAGCTGTAGTCTGGGGAGCAATAACTGCCTTTGACAAGCAACTGCAACTCTTGGGCCCATGTCAGTGATGCTCTTGTAAACACACAGGAATAACCCTTTTTGACTCTCATAAGAGATGTTTTCCCCAGAAATAAGGATAAATCTCTTTTTCCTAAAGTTCACCTTATGTGCCAGTATGTACAATTTATACACAGGTATTTTCCCCAGATATATTGTGTACCTAGCCCGCCACTGTTCTATCAGCAGCCTCTACCCGGTGGAGGAGATCGTATACTTGACCTTCAAGATTAGTTATTGCCAGTAAAATTCCTGGCCAGTATTTTGAAGGACATTTTTGTTGTTGTACTAGTTTCCTCCCTGGCTGAATACGTCGACAAGTCTTCCATCTATCTTACGGTTTTTCACCAGCCGTCAGCTCACCTTGAAATCTGTCTTGTGAAATAGAGGCTCTGAGGCTGAGTGTACTCTGGTAAACTGCGTATTAGGTGGGGAAAGTGACACATTTACATGTTACAATTTTGATTTTATTGTATATTCTTGATATACAGTAACTGAAAACATTAATCATCACCACTTTTATTCTCCTTCTGGGCTGCCACTAGGGCAAGGGCAACACAACTTTCTCTTTTTCTTTGAGCATGTTGGATTTTCTCAGTTAGGGCCTGACTACCCTGCCCCCTGTTCTACTTGAACATCTTTGAATACTGCAGCACTCTGATCTCCTGTATATACTAGCATTGGGTGGAACACTCTGTAATCAGCACTCCACTCTATATGCTTCATAGCTTCAAGTGAAGGACTGCTAAATCCTCCCCTATTATCAGCTAACTAATCCTGCTAAGGTAGCAGCACCCAAGGAGTGCACCTTAGCATGGAGGAAGAGGTTCCAGCAAGTTAGCTCTCCAGAAAGAGGCTCTGTTCTGTGACACTCGATCCAATGACTCTTCAGCACAAGTCATTTACTGCAAGTACCTGCCAGAGAAATCACTAGGGTAGTAACTCCACCAACAAATAAGCATCCTTAACTTAACTGTGTCCCTGAGTTGCCATGGTAGCCCTGATGTAACTGGCGTCTTCTCAATGGAGGGAAAATTGTGTTTCACATGTGTTTGCTATTTCATCAGTCTCTAAGATGTGTATGACTTTTTTTAGTTTAAGCATACGTTTTCAAAAAAGCATGAGTAAATTGTACTGTATTATTGTTTGCATAGGTAACATGTATTATTTGTCTTATTTCAGTTGCAACAACTATTAACAGACCTTCCCCATGACATGCTGGATGACAGTGGAGACCAGCTCTCTAATTATTCTGATTGTAGCATACAAGAGGATGCAGAGCAGTAAGAAAGTTAATTTTTCTTGGTAGTCATTTTGCATGCGTTAAGAAAGTGTAGTGAAGCTGAAGCTCTATCTATGGGTAGATGGTGTACAAACAACTTTAGCTTAACTTTTACGAACAATGGGAATATACCACAACTTTAATTAGGCCTTAGGTTCCACAATAGATGGAGTAGATGCTAAATAGTTTAATCTAGTTCTCTTTATGAGAACATGGACATAACTATATATACACACACAAACACACACAGTATAGTTACTAATGTTTCATGAATATTTTCTTTCTCTCTGTATAGAGCACATGAACCCTGGGAGCATGAGGGCAGGTGGAATGATCATCTGCTGATAGCTAATCCCCAAAGTGTAAGTCCCCGACAAAATTGTGACCCAATAATAGGGTCTTCTCATTAAGAATAACTTGTTTTTGATCTAGGAATTTATAGGGTACAATATTAATTTATATGGTCCTTTACAAACAAATAGTAATGCACGTTGCCTACCCTGACAAGCTTGTAATCAAAGAGGAAAAACAGGAGACAACAGTTCAGGTAAGGAAGAATATCAAATCTCTAATCTGTTCATAGGGCTATGAACAGGGACAGAATTTGTATCCTGAACAGTTCCTGTATGACCAAGGAAATAATCATGGTGAAACACATGCCAGTAATTGGACTGACCAGCACAATGCAGACAAGGAAAGATGCATTTACGAAATTAAAGAGAACTACTCTGATAGACAGAGTGAAGAGGATTCTGATGATGTGTATCTCGGCAGAGATGGGTATAAAGCACCAAGTCGTTGCCAACAGAACAATGTGTATCATCTCCCAGAAAATTTTAGGCCATACACAAATGGTCATACACAGGAATTAAATAACCAACAAAACAAAATAGTAAAGTTTCCAGATGCTCCGAAGGAACATCTGAAGGTATTTAAAATATTGATGTATTTCTTTATCTTGTGTGTATTTTAATGATTTAAGTGTTGATGCTAGAGTATTATTTTAGCTGCTTTCAGTTTAGAAGATCTGGATTTAGTGCGAAGTATTACATTTAGAGGAAAAAAATCAAATGGACAGACACAAAATGGGGAATAACTGGGGAATACTGCTGAAAAGAATCTGGGGGTTACAGTGGATCACAAATGGAAGATGAGCCAATAACGTGATGCAGTTGTGAAAAAGGCTAATATTATGGGGTATTAACAGAAGAGTTGTATCTAAAACATGGGAGGTAATTGTTCTGCTTTACTCCGCACTGGTGAGGCCTCCGCTGGAGTACTATGTCCAATTCTGGCTAGCATACTTTGGAAAAGATGTGGATAAACTGGGGAGAGTCCAGAGGAGAGCAACAAAAATGGTAAAAGGATTAGAAAACCTGACCTAAGAGGAAAGGTTTTAAAAAAAACCTGGGTATGTTTCGTCTTGAGAAAAGAAGGCTGAGTGGGGGGGGCGCGATGTATACAGTGTGTAGTTGTAACCGGGTCAGTCCCAGAATATTAGAGACACAAGGTAGGTGAGGTAATATATTTTATTGGACCAGCTTCTGTTGGTGAGAGAGAGGTCTTCAAATATGTTAAGGGCTGTTATAAAGAGGACAGTGATTAATTATCCTCCATGTCCACTGAAGATAGGACAAGATGTAATGGACTTAATCTGTAGCAAGGGAGATTTAGGTTGGATATGGGGAAAAACTTTCTAACTGTGAGGATAGGTTTTAGAGTGGTTTTTAACTATAAGGATCGTTAACCTCCCTTGGTAACCTATTCCATTACTTATTGAATCTTCATCACTGGAGGTTTTTAAAAACAGATTAAACAAATGTGTGTCAAGGTGGTCTAGGTATACTTAGTTCTGCCTCGGTGCAATGGGATGGACTAGATCAGTGGTCCTCAACCTTCCTTGTGGGAATAGCATATTGCTATTTCCAGAAGACTGTGGCGGGCGCCAGACACGTCGCCGCCGAAATGCCGCCGTTTGGAAGCAGCAGCGGCAAGAAGCGTCGCTGCCAAGAAACGGCAATGCTTCTCGGCGGCTTTTCGGCGGCGGGGTGTCCTGTGGGCGCATAAAAATGGCCCAGCGTGTGTCATGGCGCCCGCGGGCACTGCGTTGGGGACCCCCGGACTAGATGGTTTCTTGAGGTCCCTTCCAATCTACGTTTCTTTGATTCTATCTCCAGTTGTTACAACATGATATGCTTCTGCAATCAGTTTATCATATTAAAGTAACTCAGAGTTAACTAGTTGAACTTTCAAGCATAAAAATGTAGTGTTTGGTTTTATTTATAGAATAATTAGCAAAAAGTGGTACTAGATGTGTTTTCATATTGACTGTGTAAACTTTGCCAATAAGGCCCCATTCAACAAAGCACTAAAGCATGTGTGTAGTCCTGATTTCAGTGGGACAACACACACATATTAAGTGCTTTGCTGGACTGGAGTCTCTGCAACTTCTTTTTTTTTTAAATACCAAACCTTGTAAATCCACAAAGGGAAATACTTTTGCTGTGCAAGACGAGGGTAGGTTTAAAACAGTTGTCCTTACTTTTAATCTGTTGTCACAACAGCAATTTGGTGCATCTGAAGTTGCTAACGGCCAAGCTGTGGAATCTTACAGAGTGACGTATAAACCATATCAAAATGCCATTCAGCAAAAAATCCCAATAACCCAAGATGCAACAAGAAGAAATGAAGTGCTTGAAGAGCTGCAACGGGAGTTTTTGGGTACTGAGGAGAGTAAGTGTTATCTAGTTCAAGCTTTGATAAATGTCCTGGGGTGAAATCCTGGTCCCTCTGAAGAGTTCAGTGGAGCCAGGATTTTTTCTTAGGCTTTGTTAAACAAAGGAAAAATACAGCAATACCTTGGATGTGTCCTAACCTCTAAATTTTTATCAAGCGATAGCTCGTTGAGGTGGTACTAGTTTCTTCCTGTTACAATGAAAATAAGAATAGACCATTTCTTTTGATCAGTATGTTCAGTTTTAAATGCTTCATAATATTCGCTGTAGGCCAGTAGGATTTTGCCTGAGTAAAGGCTGAATTCTTTTATTTTGCTGATGGCTCTTGTACTACTGATTGCATTGGGAGGAGCTAAGGCCTGATCTGTAATTGAAACTTAGGTTGACATCCTGCTCAAGGATGTGAAAAATCCACACCCCTAAGTACTGTGGCTATGCTGACCTAACCCCCAGTGCAGACACAAGTAGGTCAACGGAAGAATGCTTCAGTTTACCTAGTTACTGTTGCTGGGGAAGGTGGTGTTCCTACAGTGATGGGAAAAACCCCTTTCATCATTGTAGTCTGTGTCTACGCTATGGGGATACAGCAGCATAGCTACAGTACTGTAGCTATGCAGCTGTAGCACTCGTAGTGTAGATGTGGCCTAATGGTGCTCAGCATCTGTTCGGAGTCACCCTGCTGCTTACAAGACTGGGCCTTGAATGGTTCGCCGCCTTGTCCAATAAATGTTTATACTATCAAATCTGTAGGCTTAGTGGAGAAATGTCAAAAGTCTCTAGATGACTAGGAATGGAACTCTGAGAATTTACGGTAAGTACACTAATGTTAACACTCCGTTAGTTGGTGACAGTTGTGTGGAGTTTTAGCTGACATTGTAATTCAGGCCTAATGGTGGGACTGTGAGCTGGTGCACTTTATTTAGTAAGCAAGTTGTATAATTTTTCTCTGTTTTGGAGTTACATCTTGTGCACCAACAATGAATTTGGCACTGTTCAGAAGGTAGATGGTTTTTGCCCCAAAGACCTTATAATCTATTTCAGACTAGTTAATTGTACTATAAGAATGTTATGCACTCTTCAGAAGCTAGCTTGTTAGAAAGTTAGTTATATTTTAAACTTTCGACAGATTCTGCGGACAATATGCAGATTCTTCAACTTCGGGTTCTTAATAAAGCAAGAGAGAGACAACTGGAAGAACTTACTGAAAAGATGGAAAAGAGTGCACAGCAGATTAGGTATCTGAATCATCAGCTTGCAATGGTCAAAGGTAAAACAAAAGTTTATATGGACCTTTAATTTCTAGAATGTACTGAGATCTAATGTGCTCATCAATTTCTGTTTAACACACTCCAACATACATTGATTGTACTTGCAAACTTGATTTGGGTTCAGAGTCTGAGCCTGATTCCCCACCCTCTTTGCATCTTTTATAGTCATTTACACAATGGGGGTGTAAAAACACTATCAGCGGTCCAAACAATTGAAGAATTCTATTTTGCTGGCATTTTAAACCCCCTGTGCACTCACTCAAAACAGGTGTAACGCTGCAGAGACTTGGCCCCTTGTGTATAGCTGAAGGCTTACAGTTGCACTGAAACTTTTTTCACTCTTTTTAGTACTTTTTAAAATAAGATAGGAATGGCCACATTAGATCAGAGCAGCGATCTCCGACAGTGGCCAATACCAGCTATTTCAGAGGAAAGTGCAAGAAACCCAATAAATGGATGACTAAAGAAAAAGAGAAATTCAGTAAACAAGAGCCAAATTCAAATAAAATACTGCTGTACTTTTTCATCTGTTTGACACACATTACCCACCATGTCTAATCTCTATGATTATTAAATAAATTAGACAACACTAATCTGGATCCCAATTCTAAAATATTGGCTTATTATTGATCTACTTAATAGCCCCTGTCATTTTAATAATAGTAGAGCCCGGGGGCGAGGGGGAAGGAAGGGTATGTGTAGAAAGGAAGAAAGAATCATCTCTCTTTCCTGCTAAATTGCTGCTTTTGTAGTACCTTTACTTTCAGGTGGATAGTAACTAAGTGCTTCCTCTAGATCTGTTAATACACCCGCTGGTTCCAAAGAGATCTGTTAACTTGGGTGCAGTGAGCAATGATTGCTGAACTACTTGTGCCCATTATTACTATATTAAGGTCTTGAGTCGGGAAAGTGTTCTGTTCAGGACCATTCTTAACTTTAAGCGCTTTCCCAAATTGGGGCCTAACACAATACCTCTTTGGTTTTCTTTTATTTAACTTTTAAACTTATATTTATAGCCCTAGAGTGAAATTCTTTAAACTTCATGGTGATAACTAATGTGAGCATCCTGGAGAGAAAGGATGCAGTATTACCCAAAGGCTTCCATCAGGATCTGGAGCTGCACTATGCTAGACCCTGTAGAAGCATACAGGACAATGTGGTCCCTGCCCTAGAGAGTCCAAACAGTCTAAAAATAAAAAATTGGACGAAGGGTAAGAGACAGAGACACAACCGAGACAGTGTTCAGTGATGATGGGTACACACTTTGTTGTCTTAATTTCTTTGTGTGGGGGCAGGAGTGAGGTAAGGGGGAATTGTAGCAAGGTGGGAGGGAAAGAAAGAAGAGAGGAGTTTGGGTAGGGAGGGGGAAAGGGTGGGAAGAAAGTTGGGCAAAAAAAGCAAGCAGCAGACAGAAAATAATGGCCAAAGTTCAAAAAGAAACCAGTCTGCTGACATCCTTGGTTGTCTCTTGGCAAGTCACTGTTGTTCATCTTCTGGGAGGTCCTATTTTGTTTCCTCCATCCCGTCCCCTGCCGCATGCAATGGTGCTGGTTGCTTGTGCAAGTAGAGTGGTGTTTCTTTATAGTAGGATGTTGAGGGTGCAGGGGGTCCTGGCTGGGCCTCTCCCTGTCCCTCTGCTGGTCTGGTTGTTGCTGGCTGTACTCTTGGAGAGTCTGCTCTGCTTCCTCCAACCCATTAGGTTGAGGGAGGAGGCCCACTAAGGTGTTATACTCCCAGACCCAGGTGCCAAATGAAAATTCCTCCAAAAAGGCTTGTTGCAGAACTCCTCTCATAGCTCCCAGGATGCTTAAATATTTATTTCTCTTGTAAGATGAAAAAGATGGCTTGGCACTCAGCCTCCAGGAATCCCAGAAACTGTATCAAAATGGAAAAGAACGGGAGGTACATCTTGAAGGTCAAATTAAAACACTTGAAACCCAAATTCAAACTCTTACTGCCAACGAGGAGCAGGTACTGTAACTGTTATCTGTAACTGTGGGAAATTTCTGTAGTTGTACTTACGATGCAAAAGTGAATCTTAAGTTTAACAAAGATTTAATATATTCTTATGGACATGCTGGCAGGATTATTTAAGACCCAGAGTATATGACTAATGAGTTGGAACTTCTAGTGTAAAAATTATAGATTATAATCTATTATCCAGACTGGAATTAGCAAAATTTCCCCACTCTTATCAACTGTTGACACAAAGGCCCTAGTCAGAAAGGTAAATATGACCTCACTAATTTACAGAGTTATTTATTCTGTAGTTTTGTAATTGCAATCTGGAAGTATAAAATCCATAGTTTCTCAGATGTCTTGGTTCTTCTGGTGATACATCATTTACTTTGAATATCCAAAGTCCTCCTATCTGCGAACCCTGCCTATTTATTTTTATATATGTATATATGTTGCCGTGGCTAAGATGAGTGTTAGTCTTTAACTGCTGCATGTTCAAGATGAAGCTTCTATAATGAAAAAAATATTAACATCTTGTTTTCAGATCACCAATATTCTTGGTCTTAAATGAGTCACATTAGCTGATGGGAGTCAGACCTCAATGAAAAAACTATTTTGATTTATCAGAACCTTTTAAAAAAAAAATGTCAATAGCAGCTCTTATAAGGATTCATTAGAGCACTTTGTTTGTTTTTGTGTTTTTCCCCTCTGGCATACCTCTCTGGATGCTTTACAAGGCCTTCTCTGTTACTGCTCTGTCTCCATGACTCAAAACAGGATGTTTTTACTTTCCCAAAGGTAAATACATTGGAAATTCTGAATTTTGTACTGGTTGTGATGCACTTGGATATCATTAACCAGATTGTAATGGTCTTTAAGTGCCTCCCAGCTATTGAAGTGGGAGGAACATTGCTGTGATTTGGATCATAAAAAAGTTTACAGATAATCCAGTGAGATTTATTTTATTTTTTGTGTGTGGCATATGTCTACTACCTGATAGAACATACGCAAAGCCTGTGGATTTCACAACTTCTCAACGCCAAAAGTGACTAAAGAATGGTTTTAGGAAGTATAGCAACTTTCTTACGTATCATATGATGCTAGTTTCCTTTTCCTCCACTTATTTCGTGTCATCCAATCCAGGAACAAGAGTGTAACAATCTACTCATAAACTAAAGTCATTTATTTTAGTTCAGTTTTGGTGGATGGTGGGTAGAAGCAACTTAAGTGGAATGTAGCCCAAGCTTTCTAAAAGGACAGGAGTTTTCCCTGATGCTCCTATCCCTTAAGAAAGTGAACTGTTCAGATACTTCTAGACCAAATAAGTCATTGACAAGTCACTTGAAAGCTTGAAGTTGGCTTCCAATTTACTCCTTTTTGGTGGAGGGATTTGCTTAAACATAAGTGGTCAAATCCTACACAAGGCAAAACTGATTGGCTAAATGGATATGTCATCACTGTACCATGCAGAGCCTGGCTAAGGGATGGAGATGAGGTGGCTTGCACCCTAAGTCCCCCATAATACTAAAGCTGCTGGGGCGGTTGATCCCACAATACAGTTAGGACAGCCTTCAGAGGTACCCTATCTTCCCCCAGCCTTGCGGCAACCAGGAAATAAACAGGGAACAGGACTTTCCTGGTCCTTTTCTGCTGTTGGAAAGTCCCCTTCTTCCCAGAGCACAATCAAGAAAGCCCCCTTCGTTGAGGGCTCTTGTGTAGGGATACAGAAGGCCCCCTGCATTGGAGGTATTCCTTTGGAGGGCTCTTATAGTTGCATTGCTTCCCTATTGCTCTGACATACTTGGTGTAAAGGGCAGGATGACTGTGAATCTGGAATGTGACTTCACAAAGTCAATGGGAGTTATGCTTGTGTAAGGATTGCAGAAGCAATGGTGGTAGTTTATAAAATGTTTGGTTTATAGTTCTCACTTGTCTAGTGTACTTTGACTGCTATACAGATAACAAAATATATGTAATTGTGACAACCTAGGAGAATTTTAAAGTTTCTTCATAAAATTCCTCACCTGCTAAACTCTTTATCAAAAAGATATATAAGCATAATATGCAAACTATTTAAGAAATGGAGATCTTTCTAACAGCCAGAGTACTCCAACCACTGATTAGAACATACCCAAGGAGACAAACTTGTGCTCCAACTTGCTGTTGGTTCCTGCTAACTCATCCTGTTAGGGATGGATCCTACAATATTGCATTTTTAATAACAAACATATACTTCTGGTTGGAAATGGAGTTGGCAAGAGCTGTTTATAATGCACACACGTGTGTGTGTGTGTGTGTGCGCACGCGCACAGGATTTTCAGTGGGGCTGATCTCCTCTTAGAAGAAGATGCAGTCCCAGCTGACTCAAAAGAATCGTATTTACTTTGACTTGTGTTGTAAGATAAATCAGTGACTTTAACTTCTTGTGGTTACATTCTCAGATGTGTGTGCATATGCCTCTTTGGGGGCTCTTCCTACATCCCCCACAGGAGAAAGTGGTTGCAACTTACCTTCCCCTTGCAAAGTCTCTAGGGATCTTTAAATATCTGGGACTCCGTATGAGTTCTGCTGACAAAGGCTGATGTGCTGGGACCTTGATTATATCCTATTAACTAAATGGCATTATATTTTAGCACTGGCTTCTTTTGAATTATACAATGCAGAGTTCCGTCAGGGCACCCATTCTGTTAGAGTACTTGTTTCCCCACATTAAAGGTGGATGTAATTTACCACTCCCCCAATTCTAACCAATAATAAAGAAGACAGGTCACTGAAACAGAGCAATCTGGATCACTTGTTAAGATGGGCGCAAGCAAACAATATGCATTTTAATACAGCTAAATGTAACTGTATAGATGTAGGAAGACTGAATGTAGGCCATACTTTCGGGATGGGGGATTCTATCCTGGGAAACAGTGAATCTGAAAAAAGATTTGGGATAATCTGCTCAGGTAGGAGTAGAGAGGTAATTTTACCTCTCTGTTTGGCGCTGGCACAACTGCTGCTGGAATAGTGTGTCCAGTTCTCGTGTCCACAGTTCAAGAAGGCTGCTGATCAATTGGAGAGGGTTCAGAGAAGAGCCACGAGAATGATTAAAGGATTAGAAAACATAGTGATAGACTCAAGTATAGTGATACTTGATACACCAGGGGTCGGCAACCTATGGCACGCGGACCAAAGACGGCATGTGAGCCAGATTTTAATGGCACACTGCTGCCTGCAGAGTCCCAGCCACCGGCCCCGCTCCGCCCGCTGCCAAACCTAGGCCGGGACCTCGGCAGGCAGCAGCATGCAGTTAAAAATCCTGCCTGCCCCAACCTGCTCTTCTCTGCCCCCCCCCACCAGCTGCTGCTGCAGAGCAGGCAAGCTCCCCCTTCCCCCAGCATGCTGCATTCCTCCCTCCCCCTCTCCTTCCCTGCCGCTGATCAGCTGATGGCCCTTGAGCCGGAGGGGGAGAAGCGGAGCCGCAGTGCACTCGCTGCTCCGGGGAGGAGGCGGAGAAGGAGGTTGGGACGGGGCCTTGGGGAAGAGGGGGTGGAATCAGGGCATATCCCCTCCAGCCCCCTGCCATGAGCTGCTCTGGGCAAGGGGCTGGAAGTACCCCTACCACCCCAGCCCACACCCCCAGCCCTCTGTCCTGACCCCAGCTCTAACTCCAGTACCTCCCACGACCCCAGCTCTAACTCTTGCACCCCCACATTCGCACCCCCACCCTGAGCACCGAACAGGAGCTCCTGCACCCCCCCATTCCCATCTGCACCCCTCGCACCAAATGGAAGCTGCCCAGGTAAGCACTCCACACCCCAACCCTGAGCCCCCTCCCTCATTCTAGCTCCTGGCCAGACCATACACCCCAACCCCCAGCCAGCTCCTACACCCCCAGCCCTGTGCTCAGTGCACTCCCACCCTCAGCTTAGTGCAGAGAGAGAGGAAGAGAATGGGCTAGAACCAGGGAGAAGGTAGGTACCCACTCTGTGGCACAGCCGGGATCCCAGACTGGCAGCGGGCTGTGCGGGGCCGGCAGCTGGGACCCTGGCTGTCAGGAGCCGGAGGACTGAACCCCAGACCGGCAGTGGGCTGAGCCGCTCAGCCCACTGCCAGTCTGGGGTCCTGGCCGCCAGCCCCGCTCAGCCTGTTGCTGGTCTGGGGTTCTGGCTACCAGCCCCTTGCCAGCCAGGGTCCCAGTCGGGGCCCCGCTCGGCCTGCTGCCGGCCTAGGTGAACAGAACCCCAAGCTGGCAGTGGGCTGAGCGGGCTGGTGGCGTAAGATCAGCATTTTAATTTAATTTTAAATGAAGCTTCTTAAACATTTTGAAAATCTTGTTTTACTTTACATACGACAATAGTTTAGTTATATAATATATAGACTTAGAGAGAGAGACCGTCTAAAAAACATTAAAATGTATTACTGCCACGCGAAACCTTAAATTAAAGTGAATAAATGAAGACTTGGCACACCTCTTCTGAAAGGTTGATGACCCCTCTGATAGACTCAAAGAGTTCACTCTATTTAGTTTAACAAAAAGAGGGTTAAGGGTTAACTTGGTTACCATCTAATAAGTACCTTCATGGGGAACAATGATTTGATAGTAGGCTCTTCAGTCTAAACAAGGAAAAGTAGAACACAATCCAATGACCGGAAGTAGAAACTAGACCAGTTCAGACTGGAAATAAGGTGTACCTTTTTTACAATAAGGGTAATGAACAATTGCAACAGTTTACCAAGTGTCATGGTGGAGTCTCCATCACTGGCAGTTTTTAAATCAAGATTGGCTATTTTTCTAAAATATATGCTCTAGGAACTGTTTTGGGGAAGTTACACAGGAGGTCAGAATAGATTATCACAGTAGTCTGTTCTGGTCTTGGAGTTTATGAAGCGATGAAAACGTATTTTTAACTTTGGACATTCTTAACTGTGCAGTCACTTCTCTTGAAGCCTTTATATGTTCAAAGCTTTTTTGTAATTGAACTCAAGTATTCTATATCGTGGGTTTTTGCAGCTATTCAAGCAATCCAAAGTGGCAGAGTTAGCCATGGAAAGCATGCAGCAGCAGCTGTTAGAGCTTCGGCGTTCTGACTCTCTTCAGCGAGCCAGAGAACAGCATGAGACCATAGTTGCAGCCCTGAAGCAGAAGTATGAAGAGCAAGTATTGTCATTAGAACAGAAACTTGAAGCTACAAACTCTGCACTGCAGGAGCAGGTTAGGATGGAATTTAGAACACTGAATATTTGCCTAAGTCATAGAAAACTGTAGAGCTGCACTCTTTTCCCTATCCAGTCCCTTCTGAAACCATTCTTCCAAATGGCCTGTAAATCTCAATCCCATCTTCCAGAAGATGGTAACAGAACAGAGAGAAGTAGACACAAAAGTCACAACATTTTGAAACAAACACGATATATGATATGTTTATAAACATTGCCATGCATGTCCACAAAGCCATTTAAGTGTGATTTAGTTAGATACTTAACAAAAAAAGCACCCAATACTTCTACATGAGAATATTTAAGCTATCATTGCTACAAGTAACACCTCAGACTTCTCTAATTTCTTTTAGTTATAACACAAGATAAGATCACACCTTAATCAACTCTTCGCATTGTTACACTTTTAAGGAATTGGCTCTTATTGATGTATAATTTTTAAACTGAGGTGTGGTCTGAGCACGCCCCAGGAAATCAGGAACTGACTGTTTTCCTTCGCTTAAACTCTTTTGCAGGTGGGAAACAAAATTAAATTGTAAAAATAATACTGAAAAACATACTTCAATTGGAGTGTTTTGAGGATTAACTGATTGTGAACTGGAAGGCATACATTAGTGTCACCATTCTTTCCTCCAACAAGCATTCTGCTGCTAAGGCTTTGTCTTCACTGCAAAATAAAAAGGCGTATTTTTTACATCAAGATAGCTATTTCAGTATAAAATTTTTAGCAGAAACAAGATGCTGTAGTTTTTACCTCAGTGTAGCTAGTTGAGGTCAACCTTATGATCCCTGTCTGGGGCTTACCTTGATGTAGCTAGATGAGGTAAAAACTACTTGTCTTAACATTTACATCAAAGTAGGTTTCTTGGTAAGGCAAACTTTTTTTCCAGTCAAGACACTGTTTAGGTTGTGATATGAGGCTGATGTTTCGCACTTAATGACTTGAATGATACCTTTCTAAAAGATTCTGGTAGATTTTGTAGCTTAAAAACATTTAGATCATACTTTCCTTAGTTCATAAAAACCGTAGAGAAAACCACGATCCGTATGATCTCAATACCTCTGATATATGCTTAATTTAATTGTATTTTAAATTTTACTGGATGACTATTTAGACTACTGCCTGTGAGAGTGATGGATTTGTAACTTGAAAAATCTCTCATTAGAAAGATCTTTGCTGTAATCTAAGGGAACATGTGAAGCAACTCGAAAGAATGCTTGAAGAAAGCAAACTAGAAAAAACAGAGATAATCAATCGACTGACAAGGAGCCTAGAAGAAAGCCAAAAGCAGTGTGCAAACTTACTGCAAACAGGTTAGTCTCGTCCATACACCTTATCTGCTATGGCAGAAACAATTTCCAATACGGATGGAATTGAATAACAGGTGCAGTGTGATTAATAAACGTGTTAGACTTTTGGGGAAGAAATAAGTTAACCATATATTTGAAATTCATTAAATGATTCTAGATTTGAAGTGACATGTTAGGACAAACAACTTCTTGTGCAAGATACGTAGCATGAATGTGTAAAACTTGTCCCCTGTACTACTCTACAGTTGACTATTGATAAACCACTAACTTTAGCAATATGGCTGTGTCCAGTTTCTTAAAAACTGTGCCTCAGGGCACTGGATGGTTTAGGAGATTAGTGATGAAATAGTGTTGTCACTTGGCCCAGATAAATAACGACTCAAAGCCATGAGTATTTCATTGGTGGCTGGTGGTTTCAGACCTTGTCTACACACAAACTTTCAGTGATTTAGCTAGATGTGTTTTCAAACGGGCTTCATTAAATCTCTGTAAGTTTGTGTGCAGGTTTTGGTTTGAGTGGTTTATTTTGGGTTTAATACTGTTTATTTAAAACTAAAAATGTGTGAATGACGCTAAGTCAAAATAAGCCTCTCTTAAACCAAAATAAGAGTGCCTGCCCACAGACTTGCACTGGTTTAACTAAACTAGTTAAGCAAACACAACATAAACTAATCCCAAAACAATGCCAGTTTATGTGCAAACAACCTTAGTTCAGTTCTTACTGGACTGGTGTCAACATACCCCTGTTGTAGTTTGCCAAAAGGAGTACCATTGAATGCTATCTCCATAGAAGAGTTAAGGATTTGAAACTAAAGGAAAAACAAAACAACTTTTCAGTTCCAGGCAGTCCCTTAAGAGCCACATTGAGGAGCATTCGCCAGACATATTAGGAAGCTTGCACTATTGCAAGTTGCAAATTGTGATTTGTAGATAGCCTTGAACTTCTCCATCTTTTGACCAGCATTCTCATAATGAATTTATTTAATTGCAAAAAGAGTACTTATGGCACCTTAGAGACTAACAAATTTATTTGAGCATAAGCTTTCGTGAGCTACAGCTCACTTCATCAGATGCATTCAGTGGAAAATACAGTGGGGAGATTTATATACATGGAGGACATGAAACAATGGGTGTTACCATACACACTCGAACCAGAGTGATCACTTAAGGTGAGCTATTACCAGCAGGAGAGTGGGAGGGGGGAGGAGGGGAAGGGGGAACCTTTTGTAGTGATAATCAAGGTGGGCCATTTCCAGCAGTTGACAAGAACCTCTGAGGAACAGTGGGGGGTGGGGGATAAACATGGGGAAATAGTTTTACTTTGTGTAACGACTCATCCAGTCCCAGTCTCTATTCAAGCCTAAGTTAATTGTATCCAGTTTGCAAATTAATTCCAATTCAGCAGTCTCTCCTTGGAGTCTATTTTTGAAGTTTTTTTGTTGAAGTATTGCCACTTTTAGGTCTGTAATCGAGTGACCAGAGAGATTGAAGTGTTCTCCAACTGGTTTTTGAATGTTAACATACTAACCCACAGAGAGCTTCCTACCAAGACTACAAAAAGAAGGATTCTGGGTGGACTCCTCCTGAAGGTCGAAACAACAGACTGGACTTCTACATAGAGTGCTTCCGCCGACGTGCATGGACTGAAATTGTGGAAAAGCAGCATCACTTGCCCCATAACCTCAGCCTCAGCTACTGCCATAGTCAATATATTTACTTTTAATGGTGAATTTTTAGTAGTAATCTTCCTTACAGTAAGGTTCTCTTTCTCTACAGGCTCAATACAGGAGACAAATCAGTTACGATTACAACTGCAGCAAGCCCAGTCTGCACAGCTGATAAGCAACAACATGAACAAGACTTTGCAGGTTAATATATTTTATGAAAAAATATTTTGTTAGAAAAGGGAGGGGACATAAAGGGTAAGCATCTGCTAGGCTGAAGCACTTTATGGACATGGCCCTGACATGGTATCCCTTTTGAAAGAATCAGTTGGTACCCCATTCCTGAAGGGAGAATGGTTCTCCAGAGTCACAGTGAATATTCCATGCCAGGCTTGCTCATTAAAACACAGGGATACATGTGTCTCAGCAGGCCAAACTTTACGTAATGTGTTTAACTCGTGTGCTAGTGGGAGAAGAATGGAAAGTACAGTATTTAAAATTCAAATCCTGTTTCCAGAGGGAGGAGAAAAATCTAATTTAATTGGATAAGTAGGGAGGGATAGCTCAGTGGTTTGAGCATTGGCCTGCTAAACCCAGGGTTGTGAGTTCAATCCTTGAGGGGGCCATTTAGGGATCTGGGGCAAAAATTGGGGATTGGTCCTGCTTTGAGCAGGGGGTTGGACTAGATGACCTCCTGAGGTCCCTTCCAACCCTGATATTCTATGATTCTATGACTATTGGAAGTATAATATGGTTCTGAAGTTTATCTTCATGAGCAAGAATTATTATCATGAGCGAAGGGGGAGAATCCCTCTACCAATTATATCTGGAAGTCCATGTTCTCATTGTAGTTCAGATATTTAACGTGTAAGATCCTGCCATCTTTGAAACTATGAATCTTCTCGCTGCTCTAGCTGCTACTGCAGCTAAACTGCACTCCCCTTTACAGAGAGATCCCCATCATGATGATGATTGGGAGAAGAAAAAGAAGAGGTAAGGACGTAAGAGTCTGAAACCATCCTTACCTGAATGCTAGCTGTGATACTAAGAACTCTGTATTTACTGGACATATAGTGAGAGTGTAAGAAATATTCCCCACTTGGTTTTTAATGTAACTTATAGTATAGTAGAGAGGCTATCACATAAGTGATTGAGTAATAACTGGTATTAGCAAAACAAACTGTGTTTCTAGAATTAAAGCAATGCTTGGTGGTTCAAATATGTATGGCCCATAAATACAGAAATTAGTTTAGTAACTTAAGAAATTTGTTTTACTTTTAGTGACTTATCTGGGGAAATTCTTGTTGGGCCTAAAAGGCTTGATTTCCTGGTTTGTTTTGACTTAGTTGACCTACTGTCTATAATACTACTATTTTGCCTTTTTTAGGAAGAGCTAACAGAACTAAAGGAAGAAATTGCTTTGTACGAATCTGCTGCCAAGCTTGGGGTGTTTCTGAATGACGCAAGTGGAGAACTTCATGTGGACATGACTGATTCTTATGTGGATTTGGGTATTAAAAAAATCAACTGGAAAAAAGCAAGATTTCACAGGTATTGGGTGAATATCATTCTAGCAAATGATGCATCAGATCAGTCTACAGTAGACGATGCAGTCTGTACAAAATTATTATATGTAGTAATTTTTTAAAAACTCAGTAAATTAGCAGCAGAGTACTTCTAACAAACGCAGAATTCTTTGGTCTCCTCAGCATATTTAATAAATTACCATAGATTATTCTAACGTGGGAAACAGCGCCCACCTTCTGTTCAGTTTGAATGAAACAAGCTTACCTACAGATCTATCTTTCTGATATTGGCCTACAGAAGTGGTCTGCAGACTCTGTTGTATGAATATTAGGAGTACATGAAAATATTTGGATGATAAATCTGTACACTGAGCATAGTGTATTATTGCAGATAAAAGACAACCATTCCTTACCTGTTGAAACGCTTGGTCTTCAAGAACAGCCTACAGAAATATGTACAAATGCACTTGGACACTCAAAACGGCACTGCTTATTTACTGGTTTAAAATAATATTTCAACCAACTAATCACTAGTTATAGCTCACAATAGCTCAATTTGCGCAGGGGTGAAGCAGTTTTAGGAAATGACTTCTTAATCCTGGAAACTCAGCTACTTGTTTTCTAATCAGTTGCATAGGCAAGTTGCTGAAAGATATTTATTATAATACATTAAATGTATAATTGAAGTCCTTTCCAGGTAACATAATAACAAAGCAAACATAATTTCTAGCATTGCTTGAGGTACTCGCTCATGGTGAGCGGTCTTCTTACAGTTCTTTTAACTGTTCTATTTTTGGTAGATTTAGTAAAGTGAAGGAGAGTTGCTGCTTGTTTTATTCTAAGCTATGTCTACAGGTTTTAACAAAATTGGACTGCCTATATTTTCTCTAACAGTACTGTGCAGAATAGAGATTTGGAGAAAGAATTTTCTAAAGATGAGCTCATCCTAGAGTTGAAAACTGAAATGGAACGTTTATTGGGCAGTAACAAAATGAAAAGAAATCAGATTTCTCAGTTACAAAATGATCTTAAAGACTGTCAGAGGACAACAGAAGAACTCAAGCAGCTGTTGAAAACAGATAAAACCGCAAACGAGAATGAGGTTTGTTCGTTTAAATATACCACTGAGCATTTGGACTTAATAGAACAAGGCAAAAATTCACTGGATTTAAAGTAAACCAAGCAAAACCTATAAGTGATCTCTCATTTTTCTCTTGAGAAAAGCAGTTACAAGTAATTTCTTTGAACTACATTTACAACAAGTAAATGAAGCTGTTCTTAACCTTAAGGAAGGGATTACTATTTTGCAGAAATAAAATAAGTAGCATCCGAGAAATTGGAAATAACTGGCAGATGTCTTTAAACTACCACCAGAACTTGGATAGTTTGTGCTGCCTTCCAGTTAAGTTTCTGGTATGAGGACTTGCTTACAAATGGTTGCAAGCTTTATTGATTGATTACTTTAAACTTCTCTTGAGTTCTGTTTTCTTGGAGGAAAGCAAATCACAGCCTTTAGCTGAAAACTGCAAACTGTACAAGGAAGGAGCAATCATTTGAGTCAATGTAGCATTTCTCCCATACTACCTTTTTCCCCATCTTGAATGTTAATCTTTAAAGTGGCTTTCATAAATAAGACAAACTTGTAATATGAAGAAAGACATTGCTACCCAACATATTACATGTGCAAATTGTGGCTTGAATGGTGGGGAATGATGATATACCCTGCAAAGGCCCGATGTCTCAATTAAATGGTAGTTGGTGTTCAACTCTGGTACAGGGCATTGAGCATATACATCTTGAATGAACCCAGAAGAGCTTACAAAAATCAAAGATTGTCATATGGGCAGAATACTTACAACCGTAGTGTCCTGTATTTTGCAGTGAAGCCATTGCCTTTACTGCTTTTTTTTGTATCAAGGAAAAATATTTGCTTAACATGTTAACTTCTAAAGCAAGTATGTCTACATGTATTTCTGAAGAGTTGTTCCAACTTAGTTTTATGTTTTCTTGATAGCCTAAAATAAGTAGTATAGAAAATCTGACTGAAACCTTGTGGTCCACTCCATCTGCTTCTGATATGTATCTTCAAAAAGAGCTTCTGAGACTTAGAAAGGTGAATCAGGATTTACAACAAGAAGCTGAGGTGAGTTTGTCACATTTGCAAACTAAGGAAAAAAGATTAAAGACCAGCCAAATTGTCCAAAATGTAAATTAGAATGCATTCTTTAAAATTGTCTTTTCATGATTTTGACTTTCATTTGTATAGAACTATAGTTTATGTATTCAAGAACTTAAAGCAAATGAGGAAAAATTGAAAATTGCAAACCAAGATCTGTGTAATCAAATGAGACAAATGATTCAGGACTTGGATCGGGATAAACAAGAAGCTGTTGACAGGTAACTGTTACATCTACAACTTTTACCACATGGCCTGTGTGGTCCTTTCGTACCACCTTTGTACAGAGATCGCAGCTTTAGACCTCGTTTCTTACCAAAATAAAAAAATTTTTAGCTGCTCTTGTACATAAACAGTTGAATGAAGCTTTAACTTTTCTCCATCCTAGGTGTGAAAGAACCTATCAGCAACACCATGAAGATACAAAAGCCCAGCTTCGGGAAGACTTCATGGAGAGGCTTGCTGCAGAAAAAGAACAACTCATTCAGGCTTATGAAGAGACCATCTCGCGGTTAAAGTAAGATCTTATCAATTTTGACATCCTTCATTAGACTGAGGGTCTACTGTGAAGTGGCCCTTTTCAGTCACACTTGAAATAATTTCCTTTTTAAATTGTGATCGTGTTTGTGAATTTAAAGAATAACAATTTAAAATTACTTATGTAAGGGCTGACATGGATGAGCTGAACAAGGAGATGACGGCAGTGAAGGAATGTTATATAGCAGTCTGTGGAGAGAAAGACACACTGGAAACCACGTTGAGGAAGAAACTTGAACAAGAGCAGCAGTCAAAGGAAGAGAAGGTACAAGAGAAAATATCCTTGATTAACACTGGAGAATGCTTTGTATCTAAACTAAAGGTATGGGAAAGGTATTGAATTTCATTACTTTTCCTTTTGGTTGACGCATTACATCGGGAGTGAAGGGCTGAGTTCCACTTATAGAATCATAGAATATCAGGGTTGGAAGGAACCTCAGGAGGTCATCTAGTCCAACCCCCTGCTCAAAGCAGGACCGATCCCCAATTAAATCATCCCAGCCAGGACTTTGTCAAGCCTGACCTTAAAAACTTCTAAGGAAGGAGATTTCACCACCTCCGTAGGTAACGCATTCCAGTGTTTCACCACCCTCCTACTGAAAAAGTTTTTCCTAATATCCAACCTAAATCTCCCCCACTGCAACTTGAGACCATTACTCCTTGTTCCGTCATTTGCTACCACTGAGAACAGTCTAGAGCCATCCATTTGGAACCCCCTTCTGGTTTTTGTCCATGGGTCAGGGTATAAATCTAAGTCTATGTACAAACTTTGAGCTATAGCAGAATACCTGCTGTCAATGGGAAGTTGCCACAGAGAGAAATGATAGAATATAGCCTTTATATGGTACCTAAATGTAAGTTATTCTTATTTGTGTGCTCATACCTTATTGTCACATTTAAAATTGTTCCATGGAAAAGTTATGCTCCCCTTTAGGACCACTGCTATTTCTGGCCTTTATTTCCTTTTCCTTCACATCCTCCTGTCTGTTTATCTCCCTCATCTTTCTTTGCATCTACGTTCTGTTCGCATTTCTCTCCATGCAACAGTTTCCAAGTCCAACCTGCTTGTGGGCTTTGCTTATACCCCTTTCCCATTCCATCTGCTAAAAGGATCAGTAGTTAAATAGTTAATGCTGACATGGAATTGCCTTGGTTAGACTTTAAAGTTGATGTTTCAGAAAGACTACAGGGGAGTTCACGCTTTTTGAGTCCTTGTTCTGAAGCTGTCTGCACACTTAGGGCAGACATCCCCATGTAGGCTTATACTAGGGTGACCAGACAGCAAATGTGAAAAATCGGGACAGGGTGGGGGGGGTAATAGGAGCCTATATAAGAAAGAGACCCAAAAATCGGGACTGTCCCTATAAAATCGGAACATCTGGTCACCCTAGCTTATACTCAAGGCTTGTCTGCACTACAGAGCCTTTACAGTATAGCTATGCCAGCGTAGCTTCATAGTGGAGCAGCACTGTAAATGAACAGAAGGAGTTCTGCTGGCATGTCTACACCACCTCACTGAATGACATTAGCTATGCCAACAGAAGCACTCATATGTTGGCATAGTTGTGTCTACACGGGGGTTTTTGCCAGCATAGGGGTGAACTAATTTAAATCTAGGTGATTTAAATCACCAAATGGAAAGCTTCAGTTTAAATCATTGATTTTAATCAACTTTTCCATTTGTACTTCAGTTATTTGCTAAAGAAAGGTGCATTTTCATTGGTTGATATAACCATTAAAACATGTTGATTTACAGCTGAATAGAGTCCTTACGCTCTATTTGATACATCTTTTTTGCTATATAGGAGGGTACGCTATAACTATATACAGTTATTTAAGCAATTGTGTAGCTTAATATAGCTAATGGAAATTCACTTCTGTTGACCTGAGGTTTTTCATCAATATGAATTTAGTTCCTTTGTGTTTGAGGTGCACATGAAGAGGAAAGTAATTTGTGTTGGGTTTCTTTTTGTTTTTTGTTTAAACTGTTTTACTGTGCATTATGGTGGTTTGTCTTGTAGGTGCGCAACTATATCAAAAATTTAACGAATGTAGCTATCAAAAAATGCTGTGTTCACTAGCTGATAGCACACATGAAAAGGTCCATGATCAGTGTAGCTTTCTCTCTTCCTCCTCATAGCTGTCTTATGAAAAACGTAGTGGATGGTTAGAATTGTGATGTCAGATGTAGCTCCTCCCACTACCTGCTCATTTGCATACATCAGTCCTATTTAACATTGTTATGATCTGAAAAGGGACTCTGTACAAGTTGATTCTGTGTCAGACTTGTTCAGCGTACAGACTAGAGTTACTTTTTTAACTGCGTACACTGCAGGCTCCATCTGGGATCTGAAAAGTGTTTTCTCTTTCTCATCTATGACAGTGAATTAAAGCTACCCACTTTTTTTATTCATGAGGTAGAATACAATCTATTTTTCTGTAGGTGTATTAACTCTGAAGAAGCTATTGATGTGTAAACTGTCTTCTTTAGCAAAGCAGCATAAATGGATGCAACTCAAAACACACTGGGAGCAGATATGTTGACTCAGAAAAGTCACTTTTACAATGGTCACTTATGACAATCACACTTTATCTTAAAATATTAATCAAGAAAATCTATCATCAAGAGGTCAATGATAAAGTGCACAGACTTTATAATCTTAATCAGGTCTCTTTTCACATTCCAATCTCTTCTTTCTGGTGTATGTTACTATTGGCTAAAGTTTGTTCAGTTGTATGCTTGAATTTTTCCTAGTTCAAGAAACAGTTATTAGAAGAAAAAGAAGAATCTCTTAACCATCTGAGGACTGAACTAGAAGAAAAGCACAGGAATTCTATTATAACAGCAAAAAGCCAATGGGTGAAAGAAAAAGAAGTCAATATTAAGCAGCAAGTGGAAAATGAAGTGGCATTAGCCAAAGTCCAGTGGGAGAAGGAACAGAAAGAGGTGTGGGGCTTGTACTAATAGACACAAAGAAGTTCATAAACTTCTATTAATGGACACTTGGGGCAGATCCTCAGCTGTCATCGCTCAATTTAAAGTCAGTGGAACTACAGTAGCTTAAACCAGTTGAGGATCTGCCCCTTTAAGCCTAATTGTGAGAAGTACTGAGTTGCTGAAATTAGTCGGACTTGCAGATACTCAGTATATCTTGATCAGGCTTTAATTTAAAATTAACATGTAAAATTCACAATAACTGCACCCATAAGCACATCTAAATATTTCACTTGAATTCTGGAATGGGTGATTCAACATTTCTACTTGCCGTTTGCTTTAATAGCAATGTAAACTTATTTGTACATCTTCTATCACCTTCTCTAAAACTGTGGCACAGGAACACAAAAGCACTCTGCCTTTGTCACCAGTCACATGCTCCTAAGTATTGTGATTTGTTACATTTACCTTGAGCGCTCTAATGAGACCTGGTAAAAAGTGTCTGAAGAAGCTTAAATTCCACTAACCTTCAGAAATGGAGGTAGTCTTGTCTCTACAGAAACAACTTTCTTATGTCCTCTGAGCATGGGTGTTGCTCTCTTTTCGCAGGGAAGGGTGTGCACATCAACTAAGACTACATATTTGACCAGTAGTAATTCTAGTTTTTAGGAATTTCAGCGATATTTTTTTCTTCTAAAAAAATACTCTTCTATAGATCAAAGAACAAGCTATCCAGAAAATAGAAAGAGAGTGGCAAGGCAGACTGGATCAAACTCTAGAAGAAACTAAGAAAACTTTAGTTGAACTCCAACATTGTGGCAGCCAAACTGACCAAGTAACCGAAACCGATGAATCATCAAGTAAGGAGATTGCAATGATTGAGGAGCAAAAATTGCAGCTGGAGGAGGCACTGAAAGTAAAGGAGAAGGCTGTTAGCGAGGCCTTGAAAGAACCTGAAACAGAACTGGAGAGGAAACATCATGAAAATATTGCCAATCAGGTAATATATACAGTTCACCCTGTTTATTGTTTTACAGCGTTCAAACATATGCAAAGTGGGTGCTACCAAATCAGAATGGTAATGTTTTATGGTTGCTTGTTACTTGCTCTCAGTAAATGACAACATAGGGTGCAAAGCAGTAGAGAATCTGACCCTAATATATTTTAAGCAGAGGAAATTATTACAAAGCAGGTTTAATCGTACTATACCTGAGTAATTCGAATTCCTGTATTTGTTAGCCTCAAAAATTCTAAAAAATATTAATCTTCTCTGCTTGATGTTATAGAAGTTGGGACTTGGAAAATGTTATCAACAAAAAACTATGAAGGATCTAATAGACCAGTGGTTCTCTAGCTATGCTAACTTTAACGTGTTTTATAAACTCTTATATTGATTCATTCTATTGAGTTATGTTACAGAGTTCCTGAACTTTTGAGCAAAATCACTTGTATTTATTTATATATTTTTAGTTAACTAGTTTAAAATACAATTAATGCTGCTTAATTCCCCTTTTTTTTGGTAAAGGAATCTCAAGCTATAATGTAGTGGGATTTACTGTTTAAAAACAAAAAGATGTTGTAACCCTGGTACTCTACACTCTCTAAACATTGGCAATTCAAATAGAAATTTGGTTTTGTCTTGTATTAATGTACTACTTCACAATGATTAAAATGACCTCTTCTTTCTCCATTCCTCTTTTGAAGGTAGAAACAGCTTTGACCAAAGCTCATGCCAGGTGGCTGAAAGAATTAACAGAACTTGAAGAGTACAAAGCAAATCTAAAGGCAGAACGAGAAAAATGGGAGAAAGAATATGAAATCAGTGCAGCAAAACAGGTAACAGAGGATACTTGTTAGGATGCTTGGTAGTTCACAAGCTTATTTTATATAATTTGAAAAAAAAACTTAATTCAAAACAACTCAATTTTCCAGCAAAAAAAAAAAAAAATTGAGCCCTGATTCAGCAAAGCCTATGCTTAAGTGCTGTGCTAAACTAAGGTCTTAGGGAAGTAAATTACTCTGTTTAAAATTGTGGGTAGATTTCTCCATTAATAGAAATAAGCAGAATTTGAATGATGAAACCAATTTCTGGAAGCCGGAGCCAAATAGTTTGTTACTGAAATCCGTAATAGGATATCTAGACTGACTTACAAAACTCTTCTGAGTGCAATGGAGAAACACCTGTAATTGTTCTTTCTAAAACAACTCCATTAAGGTTTCATTTTAATTGGAGGGTTTTTTTCTGTTGTTTTCCTTAGACTTCTGCAAGATGTTTAATATATACTAAAGCTGGATATCACATTGATTAGGTAGGAGGGATACTGTATATATATTTACTGAGCAATACAGTACAGTGTGTGCATCAATATTTTCAATCAGTATTCATCTGTTTGTTAAAGTTTATGCAGTTATAACCAAACATACCTAACATGAAAGTCCTTAAGGGTTTGCTGACAGACTGTTTTAAAATATATTTTGCATTCTTTAGCTGTCGCTAGTTCTTTCAGCAGCTGAAGAGAAATGGAAGAAACAACTTGAGAACACAGAGAAGTCTGGAGCCAGAACCAAAGAGCTTGAAGAGAAGATCCTTTCCCTTAGAAGGGAACTGGAACTAAAGAAAGAAGAAATCCCTGCAACTGTTAAAGCAGAGCTAGCGCAGGCTCGTACTCAGTGGAACAAAGAAAAGCAAGAAGAAATCCTCCGGCTACAGGAACAAAATGAGCGAGACTACCGTTCATTCTTAGATGACCACAGAAATAAAATAAATGAGGTGCTTGTAACAGCCAAGGAAGATCTTGTGAAGCAAAAAAATGAATTGCTGATTCAGAAAGAGGCAGAACTTAAGATGTGTCTGGACCAAAAGCAACGAGAATGGGCAGCTCAGGAAACAAAGAGGCTCCAAGAGGAAATTCACCAATATGAGGAGAAGATTCTAATTGAACTTGAGTTCCTGTTAGGAGAAATCCATGAAGAACTAGTCAAGAACAGAAATAATGAGCATACTTGGCAGAATACATGTTCCAGTAGTGCCCTTCAGTTAAATCACCAATACAAGGAAAAGCTAAAGGCTTCCCTACAGAAGGCTTATAGAGGCACAGTGCACACAATTCTAGAAAAAGCCAGGCAAGAATGGAGAGAGGTAACGGTTCTATAAATTAAAAATATAACTTTGCCAACCATGAGAAGGGACTTGTCTGATAACTGTCATAGGACTTTGCCTATCTCCCAAGAAATTATATATGATATTGTGGATCAAAAAAGTAAAATGATTGAGTTTCTTACGAATCTATTCCTAAATCTTTAGAAGAGAGATGGAAGAGTCCCTCTTAAATAAATAAGTTAATAAAGATGACTACAGGTATAGCTTTGGTGACATTTTAAATATTTAAGCCAGACAAATTCAAATTAGAAATAAGCACACATTTTTAACAGAGTGTGATTAGCTATTGGAACAAACTCCCAAGGGAAGTGGTGGAATCTCCACCTCTTGATGCCTTGCTATCAAGATAGACTGGACTCCCTTCTGGAAGATATACCTTAGTGAAACACAAGTTATTCAACTCAGTATAAGGGTAATTCGGTGAAATTTTGTAGCCTGCATTATCAGGAGGTCAGACTGGCCTTCTGATCTTAACTCAAGAAATTCATTCATAGATTAAGTTGGTTTAGAATGGTTACCTGGAGGAATTCCAAAAATTGTCTTCCAAAGTCAAATAAATGGATTCTGTGTTCTACAGTATCAAATATCCCCTTTAACAGCAGTTTGCATATTTTACAGGCTGTCAAACTCTTATGCATTATATCCTATAAACTGCTGATATAGGCTTGGTGTAATCTTTTGATTAGAAGTTTAAAAGAATGAACCCAGAAAACTGCCACCTACCCTAACTGTATACAAAAGGTATACTGGAAGCACATGTTGTTGATTTCACCCAAAACACTTCAAACCACAAAGCACAAATACTTATTCTTGCTCTCTTGTTCTAACATATAGTATGAGGAAGGCTACGTTTTAGTCACAGGTATTTTTAGTAAAAGTCATGGCCAGGTCACAGGCAGTAAACAAAAATTCATGGCCCGTGACCTGTCCATGACTTGTACTGTATACCCCTGACTAAATCTTGGGTGCTCTGGGGCAGGGAGCAGCCAGAGACTGATAGCGGAGCTGGGTCATGGGGGGCCCACAGGTCATGGAGGTCCTGGAGAATCTTTGACTTCCGAGACCTCCGTGACAGACTCGCAGCCTTAAGTATGACGATTGCAACATAATACAAAGAAAATAAACAGTAAATAACTGCAGCTGGATTGGGCTCTCAACCAGAAGATTAAATGGCCAGATAACACTGCATTCACACAGACAACAGCTTCTTGTCCTGATTCTGGTCTCACATCATTGTAAACCTGGAATAATTCCACTGACTTCAGTGGAATTATACTGGTGTAAAACTACTGTGAGAGGTATTGGATGCAATGTCTAATTCTTCCACAAAACCAGTTTGTCATCTTGATGTTACTGAATTCCATCCATTTGACATCTACACTGTTAATTTGAACATCTCATCGTTGCTAAGAGTCCTGGTTTGTCATGTTTGTGCTGATTGCAATGTTTCATCAAGAAATTTATCCTGGAATACAGTCTTACATATCAGATATGACTATTGCCAAATGGACAAACCAGGCTGATTAGTCAGTAGCCAGTAATTCTCCTATTTTTCTGATCTATATTGGGTGTGCCAAAAGGACGAATCCTGCAAGCTTGTTTGTAGTAATGACACCTGTGTAACACTTCTACTTCTGTTAGCTTTGTTGAGACCTTAAGCCAGTGCATTTATCTCCCATTTCTGCTTCTTGCTCAGATATTTAAAAATTAGAGAAGGCAATTTTAAATCAGTCATACAAAGAACCTACTACAGGCTTGAAAAATTGTTGAAAATGTACTGTCACAGATTTAAAATAGTCTTGCTTGACTTTACCAGGATAGGAAAAATTCTTGTCTTGCCTGTCTCCACCCTGATCATCTTACCCTCTCCTCTAAAAGGGAATAGGCAGAATTTACATGGCTCACACAAAACCAGAAGTAGAACTCTCAATACTCTATCAATCTTCCTTTTTATTTGTTTTTCTATTCTTTATTTGGAAAACGCCTCTCCTGCATTGCCCATCATAGCTGTCACTTTTGATTACGGGGAACAGACCAATGGAACTTCCATAACCATCCAACATTATGTAGACTACCTCATTCATCAGTTGGGGAATCATCTAAGAACATGGCAAAAGCACATAACATCTTGCCATTTATCTTATCCCTTCAAGAAAAGGAATGTGAGTAAGGAACTACTTGTCATAAGACTGCTACTAGTATGTGGTGGGGAAACCAATTTCTGCTTAAAGCTCACCCCATTCTCAATCAAATGAATAATCTGTAAATTTAATTTTTATTTTTGACATAGCCATAAAATATTCTCACTGATAAAGCTCCTGATTCTATACATTTACTTATGCCTGGTACATCTGGCCTAAACAATGAATCTCATTTCAAACAGGACTATGTTAACATGTGCTAGGTATCTTTTAGTTCAAGCTAGCGAGTTCTGTGGGGGGCAGTTACAGTGCAACAGTTTAGTGGATGCGTCACATCCCTACAGTCCGCACTGCAGGGCCACGTAGACAAGCCTTGAGAGGCAAAAGCCTTGGTGAAAGCCCTTGGCAAATAATCAACATTATTAATATTCAATTAAACTTATAAACTACTGATTATTTGAACCACTTAACTATCCAATGAGTTCCTTGGGATTCCTTAGTAATTTCTTCTATTACATTTGCCACAACTACAAACAAGAAAGTGAAATTATCTTTTTCTGCCCTTCCACTATCCCTAGTCAAGCAGAAACTTTATAAATAGGATCCAGTTCCTTTCTATTGGACACATCCTTGAATAGTTTCAGCTTGTTTTAGGCTCTGCTTATTTCTGCCTTATTCAGAAACTAATTGAAGCATATCAAAAATACCATCAGGATGACCAAGTACTAATAAAGCTGCAGCTATGAATAAGAGAACACTGTGGTAAACTGGTGGTAGAGTAGCCTTTCTCCTTCTACCTTGAATGTGCAGTTTTAGAACTACAATAAAAGTTTCCCCATCTTGATAGGGCTCTAGAATAAAATTATTCAAAGCTAATGGAGGCATTGTGGGATGAGCCATTTGTATTTGCTTCCCAGACTGTTTCTGGGTGTGGCTATTTCTAAGTATCCATGAACATTATGTTTTATACTACTTACTGAGTAGTCCTAATATCTGGTTTCAATTACAGAAACATGAAGAACTAGCCTTCAGTTTAAAAGAAACAGAGCACTCTTGCAAGCAAAACGGTGAAGGAGAAACTGGGGACCAGGCAAGACCACCTATGTATGATGTTGGACTCCAAGTAGAAATACAAAGAATATTAAGAAGGCAGCCACCTTTGCAAGACACTGAAATGGATAATGGTATTCTTGATTTCGCTTTTCAGTTAAATCTTGTAAATTGCATTGTGCAGCATATAAAATGTATTTTTCGCTAGTATCAGTCTTCTGTAATAACACTTGTCACTTGTAGCTAGACTCACAAAGGAGCATAGGTGTCATGATGCTGAGTGTCACCACGCCTAAATTTTAGGATCCTAGAAAATTACTGGGATCTACAAAACCTGGATGAGGTGCCTAGACCCATTATACAATGAATGGGGAGAGGTAGGCACCTCAGAATGGGATTCACAAAAAGCCAGCATGATAGATAGCTCCTCGCCTAAACTAGCCAATGGGAGATGCCAAGCTGACAGGGTGTGTGCTATGCCCAGCACCTCTCCTGGGGATAGCTGGCTAAGTCCAGGCTGCAGGGAGGTACCTCCCCCTGCTTGGGAATCTCTGCTGCAAATAAACCCTTGGTGTTAGGCTCCTATGACATTTTAGCAAGAAGCTGGGGGCGGGGGATGGAAAGAGAAGTAGGAGTAGCTCCTTGATAACGTTTAGCCCAGTGGTTAGGATACTCACCTGGGATTTGGGAGGCCTTGGTTCAAGTCTTCCCTCCACCAATCAGGTGGGTGCCCTAACCACCGGGTTATGGGATATTCTGATTGGGGTTTGTAACCTTTTGTAACCTTTATGTTGAAATGTTTCCAATTAATATAAAGTTGTTTAAAAACATAAGGGTACAATAAAACCCAGCTTTGTTTTCAGGTTCGAGCCTCTAGGTCGGTTACAGAAAATTAATTTAGTAGAGGACCTCTAGGTGACACTTTGGTCAAATCAAATTTTATTTAAAAGAAAAATGATTAGTTAGTCCTGGAACCTAATGGTACTCTTTTTTAATGTTTAATTGGAGCTCTCCTCATTTTTAACAAAACTACTCCTTTTATAATCTGTTATAATACTAATTAACATTTAGCCTAACCATTACTATAGTCATGTTTCCACGCCTCCTTATTGATTCTTTACATTACACATTATTTAAATTAACATCTACAGAAATGTCCTTCACACACTAACAATATAGATAGCGTTTTAATAAAACATTCACAATTTTTTGAAACATTTTATTAAAAACCTTGCTAAAACCAGCTAACCAAAATATAGCCACAGCATAATCTTAGGTCACGTCTTTGCTTATGGTAATTTTCCCATCTTATTGTCTCCAACTTATTTCTAACTTTCTCACATTAGCAACATCAATTTCCCAGTCTCCTCTATGCTTAGACCAGTTTAGGCCAAAACCTAATTTCTATTTAACATAGGTTACAGACTCCCTCAGTTTCTGTTGTTGAAGTGGTCCCAGTTTGGATAAATAATTAGCTATTGGGCCAGAGAGAGACAGCAAGCATGAGAGACTGACTCTGTGGCCTGGTGATGCAAGCAGTCACCCAGGAGACCCGGGATCTAGTCCCTCTGCTCCACTGACTTTTCAAAAATTATTTATCTACAATGGAACAGCTTCAATAGGAGAGACTGAGGGAGCCGCAGATTAGAATATCCCATAACCTAATGGTTAGGGTAGTCACCGGAGAGGTGGCAGATCCCTGTTCAAATACCTTCTCCTTCTCAGGTGGAACCAGGGCACTCTCCAGTCCCAGGTGAGAACTTTTAGCCCTGTGGCTAGGGTAACAAGGGATGTTCTCCTCCTCCTCCCCAGCTGCTTTGTTTAAACTCACTAATGGGTGCCTAATCCAGTAGGCAAAGTCTGAACATTCCTACTGGCTCAGGCGAGTTAGGCAAATGAAAAACTATCTTCCCCTGGTTTGTGGCTCGCCCTGGGGCTCGTGTCTGGATGCCTGGTGTGGAGCTGCAGTGCGTATGCTCAGAGACAGAAATATAGCCACCTAGGGAAGTTTTACTGCAAAAATTTAAAGGCTGAATGAGTTTAGGCACCTATGGGGTTTGGCGGCAACCTGTGTGTGAGGTTTGTGAATTCCAGGGGAGCCTGATTCTGGGACTTAGACGACTACTGCCATTTTGGATGCCTAAGTCCTTTTGTGAATCTAGCCCTTGATGACTTATGAAATCAGAGGGAAAACACTCTGCTATAATTAGTGAATATATGGACGATGTAGCACACTTAATATGTACCTTGATTTTTTTTCCATTTTAAACTAAAAGTGTCTCAATACTGCATAAACTTCTATTTCATTAGAAACAGAAAAGCTGCAGTGACCGTATGGCACCTAGTCGCTAGTTTACTGATCCAGTGACATAATTTAAGTGTTTATTTTTAATAAAATGTTGTATGTCTTCTGGTTTTAAAGCCAGTCTTCAGGATGTGAGCAAATAAGTGCCATCTTTTGGCTCTGAATCTGAATAAGTCAAAGGGGGCAGACAAAAGAACTTCCATGTTTTGCATCTAAGTCCCTGTAGGGTAGGTTGTATAGGGCTGTGTTTGTACATGATACTTCCTAAACCAAAACCTCTGACTTCACTATGGATAGTGCAAAAACAAATGCTTTGGAGGTCAAGCTATAGCGGTATGAGTCAAGGAATTCCACGTTTGTGTTAAATATATTTTGTCATGCTGGGTGAATCCTGATTTGTGAGATTAAAGTTCAGATTTTTTTTGAAAATCGTGGAATTAGTGCTCTAGAATAATCTGACTTTATAGTATTTTAAATTAAACAGAAATGCTGTAGCTTGCTCCCAGAGATCTTGTATACAGTGTGGCAGGGTCAGGGCCTGTGCAGCTGGAGAGAAACATTACAGGAGGCCCTTAGGTTATGCACAAAGCCCTCTCTGGGGTTTCATGTTTGCTTTTAGAGTTCTTATGCTACCAAAGAAACATAAAGCAACAAAACGCATGAGAGTCTCTGGCCCTATGCCCATAGTGCGGCTTAAATTCCTTCACCAAAATAACAAACCATCTATTAAACACACATAGTATAACCAGTGCAGCTCTTCTGCTTCTGGAGCTCCCTCTCCTGGCTGTAGAAAGCAGCCCTTTTCCCTCTCCGGGAAGTAGCCCAGCCTGTTTTTAAGTTTCTTAACCTAACTAGTCTCAGCTGCATCTGATCCTTTCCAGCTGGGAGTGCCTCCCTGAGATGCTCCAAGAGCTCTGCTAGAATTTAGTTTAAAAAAAAAATACAGTCCCCAAATCCACGCCACTGTCTGCATCAGTGGGACCTCCCTTTACACTCATGGCACTGCTGGGATGGGTACATTGTGGCTGCAGTGTGCAAAAAGACGTAAAGTTTATAGACCCTGTGACAAATACTACATGTGGATTGTGTCTGTAGCCTCTTATGAGAGTTTTAGTTGGATAAATAGTGTACACTTTCCTAGGGTGTAAAGGAATATCTAATTAAAACCCTAGAAATAATATGCTTTATTTTGGTTCTCTTGATTCTATGGCTGATGTGTAACCTGTAGTAATTACTATTGCAGATCAGAAATGTAAGAAAAGGAACCTTTGGTCTCACGAAGATTTTTGCTGTGACCACTGTTGCCAACAGCTTGAAACAAAGGAGAGAGAATGCCAGGATCTAAAAAGAAAGCTGGAGAAAGCCTGCAGGCACCTCCAGCTTGCAGTAAGGGAACACAAAGCTAAAGTAGAGCAAATCCAAGGTGAGTATCTCTCCTCACCTACATAGAATTCTGAATGGTTTCATTTCATGCTGGTTGTATGAATCTGTCCTTCATCTTTTGAGCTGTAGAGTGCAGCTGCTGTAATGGTGCATATCTAAATAACTCTCAGCCCTAATAAATTCCCTTTCTAATAGTAATCCTTCATCACAGCACTTTCTTCTGAACCTTTATATCCTAGCACAGAGATCAGCGTTTCGATGCATTCTTTGGTCTCTGAATGGAACTGTTCTAGGAAAAGTAACTGACAATGGATGTTCTTCGGGCAATTGTCCACATGGATCCCACTATAAGCGTGTATGCCCTGTGTGCACAAGCCCATAACCTTTTAGCAGCAGTGTCCACTGCAGCTGCATGTGTACTCTGCAGGGTAGAAAGAGCTGAGCCATCACAACTGCCACACAATTCCTTCTCACAGCCTGCAGTAGCGAGTCAGACCCCACTATTCTCCTCCTTTGCTGTAGTCCTTAGATTGTTTTAGAGTTAATAGCTTAGTTTTAGTCTTAGTGTAGTTTTAATAAGCTTTAAAGAGCCAGTGACTTAAATAATAATAAAGGGGTGGGGAAATCCACACAACTTTTTCCCTTTCTTTTTAGAAGCTAACCTTGCTACCGAGGAGTAGGTCCAAATGGCAGAGGACCGGCTTTAGAATCTTCCCTGCTTTAGAAACAGTTATGCCTGCCCAAGATGCACATACAAAATATCTGCTTTGTTTTGGGGAGTCTCTTGCCCCTAGCAACTGTGCCATTCAGAACTCTCTTTCTAAGTGCACACAAACAGCTCCTGATGCTCAAGGTAGGAAGGAGCAAAAATCTCTGGATGGAGCTTGGATCAGTTGCCTTCTCTAAAAGTCATCACCCCTCTGGCTTACCTAAACCAGCACCTTTGAAAATTGCATTGGCACATGAAACTTCAAAGACTGTAGGATCATGTTTTTCTGCTGTGCACTTTGTCCTCTATCTTTGGTGACAGATATTGTTTCCTTAGCACCATTGGCATCGGTGCCATATACTTCAGGTTCATTTGGTACCTCATCCTGATAAGACTTCTGCTGAGACTCCTCCACTGGTACCATCAGTCATGATACCATCAATATTGCTACTGCTTGCTATGTCCTCCAAGGCTACTTTCACGTCTCCTGCACATCCTACCATCACTCTGGAACTGGAGAACCCTTTGCTTGATGTGTCTCTTTATCTCTGGTACCTAAGTCTCTGCTGGTACTAGAACTCAGGGTGCCAAAGATGGACCAATGAGAGATGCTCTAATGGAATAAAACTGAAATGAAGATGAAACTCAAAGATATTAGTCCATTGTGGCAGCTTCTAGATCAGATGCTCAGCTTGACATCATTGTCGTACAGTTATGATTTAGGCAGAACTTCTATACCCTCCTTTATACCCTTCTTGTAAGGAGTTTGAGGTTGTACAAGGTGCATGCACATCCCCCATGGACGCTGCTAGCTAAAAGATCAGGGCTCACGGCCGCACTTACAGTGGAATCCCTATGGACAAGAGCATCTCTAAACTCCAGTTGCTGTAAGATAAGTAAACTGTTTTTCAACATGCTTCACTTGACCCTTCCTTCCCACCTGGTGTCACAGTTGTCACCTTAACACCTTTTTATAGAAAAGCATGCTAGATGTTTGTCACTATGAATATTTATACTCAGTCCTGTCTACCCCAGTAAGACAACCACTTCCATCACTTACTGCAAGAGGCATGCCCACTCACCGCATACCTTACTCACAGAGCCAGTGATTCCTGTGTATATAGCTTGTGCCATTGCAGACTTTATGGGCCTGGCCCAATGAAATATTTAACTGCACAAGCCAATGTGCACTGATTGAGTCAGAGGTCAAGATTAGGATCTGTGGACCACCAATACATTCAGTGTGCAAATTCTGACAGTGTTTAAATGACTTTGAGTATACAGTCAGATTAGACATACATAGCGAATCCCATCTTCCTTTAGCATGTCAGCTGGTGGTTGTTAAAAATACCATGATGCATGTGTGAAGTGTAAAATATGTGAAATGTTCTCTTTCTCCCATCCCAAAGAAGTCTCCCTATACTCCACTATAAATAACCTTTCTTCCTCCCCAACTTTTTCCTTCTAACATCCCTGCACTTCTGCCTGTAGCTAAGAGTAAAAATTACTTACAAAAATCTTCTAAACCACCACTGAGTCCGTCATACTGCTTTGATATTCAAACTTCAAATGACCTGTGGTCTAGTTAGTTCCTAATGATGATGTCATTTTGATGGGATGGCATGGCATGTTGTAGCTGCCTTTGAAACTCTGACCTCTTATCACAGAGGCAGTAATTTTACATAACCTATGAAGATGTTTAAATGGATTAAAAACATACAGATCAATTATCTGTCTTGGTTTTTGTAGAAAACGAGAGAGTTCTAGAGGCTCTAATGGAAGAAAACTGTGAGATGAAGATGAAACTCAATGATCTGAAAACATGCAATGCACCACCCAGGTATTTTTAGAAAGCCTGAACAAACTGGCTTCCATAGAAGTCATCCTACCTGTCTTGTAGTTCTAAAGTACTGCATGTTTTGTGTGCTTTCAGGTCATTGTCAGAGGGGGCTATTTCAAAATCTTGTACCTCCTGTGATGGTGTAAAAGGCTTGGAAGAAATGCGCTCACAGTATATTAAAGCTGTGGGCAAAATTAAGGGTAAGTGCTAATGAGCGTAAGTTCACATACACAAATGCAAATCACACTCTCCTCATCAGCCAGTTTATGCAAGAATCCAAACCAGTGTCAGATTTCTGACAGTCTGCTGAGGAGTGAAATTTGCTGCCTAGTGAAATATTTCATTGGAGTTATTTGCTCCTTTTCACCTTTCCCTTCCTAAATAACACGTGTGTGTATGTGTATATGAAAGACATCTGTGTTCTCTTCTTGCACTCAAGTGTCTCTTAAGATCTCACATTCATACCTCACATTGTGTGCTCTCCTGGTAGATATTAGTTTCCTTAATTCAACTTCTTGCATTCTCTCTCTTATCATTTAATCCTTTAAAAACTCATTGCAACAAGTATGGGCCTGATTCTGCCAGCCTTACTTACTTTCTGGTACATGATTACATGGCAATGAGGCTACTCTTCTAGTACAATACTAGTCAATGTGAGGAAGGCTGGCAGAGTCTAGCCCCGTACAAATTGTTTTAAGCTGTTGTTATAAATGGCAAGGGCTACTTTGTGTCCTTGAATAACTGGGCTCTATTGTTTCTTCTGCACTATAACTTTCAGCAAATGACAACCTTCCCCACCAAAGAATTTGTCCTCGGGGACATTTCATTGTCCCTTGTTTTATATCACCACATTCCAGGCCCTATGTTTTAACCACGCTCTTTTTGGCTGAAGAGGACTAGATCAAATGCCATTCCTTATTTGACTGTAGTTGTTACTGTTGAGTGCCATGCTGCCATTGCAACACTTCTACCCTCAATCTCCCTGCCCCTTGGCCAGGCTGTCTCAAATCCTTTTTTCCTTTTGAGACTCCATACTAATGAAATTTCATTTATGTAGGTGATATGCTTCGTTACATCCATGAAAGCAAAGAGAGGGCAGCTGAAATGATTAAAGCAGAGGTTTTAAGGGAACGTCAAGAGACTGCCCGGAAAATGCGCAAATACTACTTGATTTGTCTTCAGCAACTTCTCAATGATGATGGGAAACACGAAGGGTGAGTCCCAAACAAATACATTCGAAATTATTGTATAGCACATATACTTGAAGAAAATACATATACAGGAATATTAAAAAGAAGTATATTAAGCCCCCAATTAGTTGCCCATTGTTTGTTTGTTCTGAGGTTGTGCTGGTCCGCAAGCCCAGCTCAGTCTGCTTTAAACTCCATCAAATACATACTTTGGTGTGGGTCCTTCAGTCCAGCTGGCATCCTCTTCAGTGAACTTTGGGACTGAGACTAGCTGAGCAGCCTTTCTTAATACCTTCTCAACAAGTACCCTTGATTCTCCAGAAAGTTTCCATCAAGTAGACAGGTGAACAGGAAAACCTCATGTTGTGACTTCACAGCAATTGTGCAGCTTTACAAAAATTAAATCAGGCTTCAAATGTGACCTGTAAAAGGATGGGGAATGAGCTTGTACCTTTTCTTGCTTGCTTGAAGTATTAAAAGGTTGTGGAATGTTTTAAACTAAACAAAATTTCTATTTTTGGTTTTTATTTCCCCCCCCCCTCTGGCTTTTCTGGAAAACTTGTCTGAGGGGGTCACAGATACTGTTACTTTTCTTTGGTTTAATTGAAGGGACAGGGTAATTTGAAATTCTAACACATTTTTTCTCTGGAGTGTTTGTGTGGCAAGTGAGGTAAATAGGTATTAAGAAATACAAGTGACTGGCAGTCTGAATTAAAAAACACCTCCCATCTTCATCAGGTTTCATTTCCTTTAAACTTTGATGGCATAATCCTACCAATTCATAGAGTCTCCTAGGATAGACTAGTGCTGGATTTCTATTGTTAGAAGAAGAAAAAGCGCCAAAGTTATAACATTTTGCAGTAATGGGGGTTCAGGAGTCAACATTTCAGTCCTTTATAGAACATAAATTCAAAATGGGCATGTACTCATTTTTTTCCCTCCCTTTTTATACATGTCTTTTAATAAATGGCCAATTAGTTAAAGGGGAAAGGGTATAAGATTTAGTACTACAAGAGATGTCAGTGAGACTGGCAAAACAGCCTAGGAAAAGCTAGTTAGCTTCAAAAACTTACTGATTTTAAATATTCTGGGGTTCTCAACAGGGCTGAAAAGAAAATAATGAATGCTGCTAGCAAGCTTGCTACAATGGCAAAAGTGCTTGAAACGCCTGTTCAGAGCACACCGCAGAACAAAAATGCCCACTCAAGTAAGTTGGAGTGACAAGTTGGTTCCCTTCCTTCCCCCTCGTATAGGTTTAATCCATTTAGCAGTGAAAACGCAGGTGGGCAGTGGGAGTAATTTTTTTTCTTTGCTTTGCCATCATTTGCATAGGCGGTAACTTAAAAATGTAAACCACTTGATTTAACATCACTAGTATTGACAACTCTCATTATATAAACTGACTTTTTCCCAACATTAATGCTTCCTTAAATTAATCTTTTTTTTTTTTCTTTCTCTCCCCTTCTCTTAGCCCTGCCACAAAATTCTGAACTGCCAACTGGAGTTGAGCAATCAAAAAGAAATCACATTCATCAAACTAGGCTAGCCCATATGGAAAGCAAATCATGTGGCGAAAGTATTGCCAAAAAAGCCAGTGATCAAGTTGTTCAGAAACGTGTACCTTGTAACTTAAGACAGCAGCTTGATGCAGTAGAGGCTGAAACCCAGTTTGGGCTTTATGAAAGAGTAAATATCCAAAGTAGCGGGAGCACTTCTAAACAGCCAGCTGATAATTCAAGAGACACTGTGTTAGAATTTTGTCCGGCTGAAGATGGAGGAAGGCTTAGAAATGGCTGTGTCTCAAATACCGACAAAGGTCCGACAAATACTGCTAGCACTACAGCACTTCAAAAGGCATCCTCGTGTGTTCCTCAGGTGAAGTTTGGAAACACGCGTACATCCAGCTCTATAAATAGCTTTTCCGACTCTGGGCCAGCTCATGTAATGTTTGAAAACCAGATTCAAAGACCAGATTTAAACAAATTTAAATGTAACCAGCCAAATACATATGGGGAGCCAACATCTGAGAGAACTCAGGGGTTTGACATTCAAGAAACTCCAGTAAGGGATGACGGAAGCTCTGCTGACTGGAGTTCAGTTAGTGGGAGTCTACATTTGGATAGTGGTGATATGCCCTTCTTGTATCCTGTGCAAAAAGCAAGTTCTAATGCAGAAGCACAACATACGGCCTGTGAACAGTTTCCTATGACCAACTTGTTTCTTAATGCAGATGAAAATGTTGGTACATTTTGTAGGCAACTTACCAGCAAAGCCAAGATTCTTGGTGCAAAAAGTGAAGCCATACTTTACAGTAATGAGCAACTGAACATAAACCCAGGACACAATTCATACAGGAACGCTGAGAAATCAAATTTGGATGTCTCACAACAACGCAATGCAACCCCATATTCGAATATAGGAAAAGGCTATAACCAATATTCAAGGAAACTGAGACTGGATGCTAAATCTTTTCAGCAAGATAGTGGCTTTGATAGCCCACTTCCTAACTTGGATTAACATCAATAATTCTTCAAACATTAGTTTAGAAGAAACTAATATATTTCAATGCAAACTTGGGGCATGCAGAAAACCTATTATTCTAGAAACTTGTGGGTTTTATCCATTTTGTGATCTCTCAGTGTTATGTGACTTGAGACTGTTACATGAAAAAACAATCATAAAATTACTTGAAATATCGATGTAGGCTTTTGTTTACCGTGGTTATCTGGCTTCACAGTTATGTACAGTGTTTTATATAAGTGTGTGTATTTTTTGTTTAAACAATCTATTTTTGTACTTTGATTAGTTTGCAGTGCAATGTTACATTTTTATTTATATATAAATAAAACTACTTTTAATTGTAGTCCCTTTTACAATCAGTATAAAAGGTTAGTGTGCATTAGAGATGTTTTTCAGAATCTGTTTGAAATGGTCAGGCATTTCATCCCTGTAAGCGCCAGTGTATATGTAAGTTATAACCATAAACAGTTACATATGTTTTTATAAAATGATTATCAGTCTTTTATACTCTGAATCAAACTCCAAGCATGTGCCATCTCTTTGAACATATGTACAGTGAAAGCTGGTTCACTTCTGACTGAGAAAAAAGATCTTAGCTTTGTTTTCAGTAAAGCAGCGTAACTTCATTTCACAGCTATTCCTAGATAGCATTGACTATCCTCTTAATTCAAACTAAAGACTTAGTAATATTTCTCGTGGTGCTTTAATAACTTCCATTAAAGACCTGCTTGTGTTTCTCTGAAACACTCTCTTTAGCTCATTCTGCCTCTAACCTATATTTTTTACTTTTGGGTTGCCTTTGCTTTTGTTTCTAAGGATATTTATATGAAAACATGAATTTTGCTGTTTGCTTCATCTGCTCCTGCTGTTTGTTTCTCACACAAAGTCCAAACTTGTTGTGACAATACAACATCCATTATGACTAATAGTACAGTTATAACCCAAGGATTCACTTGAAGAGTGGTATGAACCGCAGTCACAGATGAACGTCTAAGTAACAATCATTTTTCTGTATAAATGTCTGCAATAATTAGAGAAAAGAACTATAGAAGCAGATCACTCTCCAGCGAATCCGTTTTCTATGAGGTGTTTGCTCTTCAAAGTTTTTGAGTTACAAGCTCACTAGGAGTACTTTTATCTTTCATATTTGCTTATTCTAGGGTGGAAAAAGGACGATGGCACAACATACAGCTATGGTTAGGACTGTTTTTTGAGTCTTCAGGGTTAAAACTTGAACTGCACAAAGTTTTATGAGCAATATAGTCTACTTTTAAAAGAAGGATAGAGCAGTGTTAAATAAAAACAAAAACTTCAAATGAAAAATGTATTTAATTTGTTCTACAAAAATGTCTTAATTGGCTACTTTAACTTTCATGCTAGTTGGCTTGGCAGATATGCATTACATCTCCCTGATTTGAAATTAGGTCAAGGGCTCTAATATGAGAATTCTGAAATTCTTGGTGGTCCTTTCATGTTATCCATAAACCCAATCCTGCTTCCTCTGTAGGCAAGGTTTTGCCATTATCTTCAATGGGAGCAAGATCAGGCCACAAGAGACCTCTTGTGCCTAAACCAGCATGAACAGCGGCTAAGCTCAAAGGCCCGATTCCCAGCTTTTATCTGAGTAAATAACTGTGCTGTCTGTAAAGGGGAAAGTTTTACCAGTTATATCTCTATAACCCTCCCATCTGAACGCTTATTCCGGTATCAGTGGCGCTTTTTTTTTTTTTTTTTTTTTTGGTTTAACTCTTTCACAATAAAGGGAGCTGAGAAAAGCACACTTATACTAGAATAAGAGTTCCCATACAGACTTTGTAACGGACTAACTGTGCCTGTTTAAATTCACACCGGAGATTATACCAAAACACCTTTTTCATGTAGACAATCCTGTGACTGTAAAAGTTAATATGCAGCTGTTCTGCAAAACAAGCAATTGAGCACACAAATTGGGCATCTGCCTGATTTGTGGTTCAAAACTAAATTCTAAATTCATCTTCCCCCATTATTGATCAAAAAGTTCCAAAGTGTAAGCACTGTTTAAAAGATTGGTCTATGATGGTTCAAGTGGATTTCTCATTTTTTTCCAGAAGTAATAAGCAAATCCAGACTTTTTCTAAATTTTAAATCTTCCAGTAGTCTTATTCTGATGCAAAAAAGCTTTTTAAATGCCCTTTCAAAACTTCTAACTTCCTACAACATATTGCTTTACCTTTTATTAATATAGCTACCAATTTTAGACATATAATATACAACTTGCATTTTAGTTTTGTTGTAGTTTTTAAAAATTGCCTTAAGCAGTTGTTTGAAGGCCAGTGAATCCAGTTCAAACTGAAGTAATAAACATCCAAATCAAGCTCAAGTCTGAACAGCTGATAAAGTTCAGTCACATGTTGGATTAAAAGAAGAGCTACACTGAGCAGAGACAACCTTCCTGCAACAACAATTGCTTTCAAGCAAGCTATGGCGGGCTAAAGCAGATTGATAGCGTTGAGGAAACCAGATAAACTCTGTTTAACAAACTGAAGCACCTTTTGTCTTGGGTTTGGGAAGGATTTCCTCTTATGCACTGCCTTTCTCCACTACCTAGTAGAAGGCTTTTTTATGTAGGTAGGAGGTAAGATACAAGTCCTCTCTCACAGTTTGAAAAAATAGGGATAATTAAATCTGAGATCCATTGACCAACCTTCTCCTGTTTAATAATTTAATGTCCCATAAAGTATCACAGCAGTAGACATAAGCTACTAATCCATAGCAACTATAAAAATCTTCACGCACAGTAATATTGTATGTGTAGCTGGAAAACTAGTTAAAGTGTTCCCCCGCTCAGTGTTAATGGTATATTAGCCTCCCTAATGAGACTTCACTGCAGAAGACTGAAGGGAAGATGGCCCCAAACAAGCAGCAACAAGAGTTTCCTGATGAGTAAGGATTTGAGTCCCTGTGAGGGCTGGGACAACAACAAATCTAAGCCCCCTTGTGAATAGCAATTCCTAGGCCCCTGCTCCTCTAATATCAAGAGGGAAGAATGAAGCAATAACTGACTAAAACAGCAGCAGCCCCTGGAACTGTGAGTGATGGGGAAAGGTTAGTGTTGCAATTTGTGGTTGGATTTGTAGAGTTGCATGAAGGCTTGTAATGCAGCCACTGAAAGAGAATGTTGCAAAATAAGTTTACCATGTGTCTTCTCCCACTTGGTTATATACTGCTGAAATAACATATTTGTCTTAATCAATAACTCATCATTTACTATTATGTGAATCTGTTCCTTCTTCTGTGCTCTGTAGAGACTTTGCCAGCAGCTCCTTATTCAGACTGCTGCTTAGTTTAACACTGTTTCTGCCACAGCAGCCAATAGTTCTCTGCTTGTTCTGTTACTGTTTCAGTTCAACACTATTTAACTTCATCTGCATTCAAAAAGATTCATGGCTGAAGCCCCTCAACCTAACAGCAGACTGCAGTGGCACATTCATGCTGTGCTACAAAATCCTTTTACTTTCTAGTTGCTTTATTGTTTTTATACTGTGTCTGCAGGGCCTGTGTTCTAGGAAATATCTTCATCCATGTAACAAACTGACCAGCCTTAAGTAGAAAGAAAAGGAGTACTTGTGGCACCTTAGAGACTAACCAATTTATTTGAGGATGAGCTTTCGTGAGCTACAGCTCACTTCTGTAATTCACAGCTGTAGCTCACGAAAGCTCATGCTCAAATAAATTGGTTAGTCTCTAAGGTGCCACAAGTACTCCTTTTCTTTTTGCGAATACAGACTAACACGGCTGTTACTCTGAAACCAGCCTTAAGTAGCTAATTGTCTATACAGGTAAGTGGACTGCATGTAGGATTGTTAAGTGTAACGTTCTTAGGATAGTCCATAAATGTCTTTAATACAAGACCTTGCAAAGAAAAGCTTGTAAGTGAAGTATATAAACTTGTTGGATCTCACACCCACATTTACATAATTTGTTTAGAAGCTTTCTAGGCATGTTTTCCAGGAACAATGGGTTGTTGTTATATACATCATTTAGTTTGCCCCTTCTTTGTCACTTGTCCTTAAAGTCTGCAGTGAGAGCCACTCTGACTTTGTGAGCTTTCGTTTGTTGTTGAAGCTCATTCCACTAACATTTGCATCCTCCTATTTCCCTTTGTTCAGTGGAGGTTATTCAGACTTCCCAATGAAATGTATTTCAAGTAGTTCTTTTGCTATTTCATATACTATCTTCTGCTCTGAAGTGAAGTTCATCACTGTGCCGTCTGCCTCATCTCTGCGGGTGTAGGTGAGTTACAGTAGAAATTGGGGTCACCTGAAAGTGACATGGAACACCAGCAATACTTGTGACCATAGTGAGACTTAACTCAGTGCTTTCCGCCCGATAATGCTTTTTGCATGCAGAGCCCTTTTTTAGCTTCACTGTTAATGAATCCTCCCCACCCTCACTACTTGGGTAGATGTTACCCTGTTGTGTCGATTTCAGACAGTGAGGCAGAGAGCCACAGGAACAATGATCAGCGTGAGAGCCTGTGTGATAGCGGCGAGCTTTTCGTCGGCTCATGGTAGCCCCACTCAGCGTGCTTCCCTCTAAACCTCGTCAACGCTTGAAGAAATTAAAGGAACACCCCTCTTTTTGGCAAATGTTTTGGCTAAACGCCATCTTCAGTGTTATGGCTTTGTCCAGATGACGAATGTTCCCTGTCAGCCTTGCAACATAGTAAAAGGGGACCACAATATTGTAATTATCTAATCAACTCCACTTTTGATTGTGAAGCAAATGTAATTCATTAACACTCTGGTTTTACTATAGCTATTAATTAACTGGTGCAATTGCAATTTGTACAGCAAAGCTGAGTCTGAGATGAAGTAGTTGCATTTTTATGTTACTTTACTCCCCTCTAGTGGTTTTCTATAGGGTGCATAGCATGAAACAATCCATCGCAATGGACTTACTGGATGATGAGTTAAGGCATTGTAAAGAACAAATGTCTGCAATTACATTTCGTTCCCCTACGTACTTGTTTCTTCCTATTGGGTGAAATGCATTCACATAGTTCCTTGGAGTTTTCTTCCCTGTAGAACAGCCATCTGCCTGCTCATCAAAGGTGAGAGTGTATTCATGTATTTAAAAAGCCAAAATCTGCAGATAAATTCCAGAGAGTTGTTTTTGTGCTACATACTACACATAGTGCCATCATTAATGTTAACAGGCCTACGACTCAAGTAGCACAGCTAAAAGCTGTAGAAACTTTATTTAATAGAGGCGCCTAGTCTTACACTAAACATGGTCCCCTTCAGCAGGCAAAGACAAGAGCTTCTGTGAGAATACTGAAGATGTCTAGGCCTGCAGTTATTT